CTGTCACATGCCTTAAGCTATAGTTAAAAAACTTAATGGTTGTAACAGAGGCTGGTTTAAACTGCCGTAAAATCGTGTGAAAATCATAGTCATCGTCTGTTTTCAACTCCTTGACACTGGCTTCTGTCATTCTATTAGTTTTTCGTTCATCATTGTCCGTCTGTCATATGAAAACGGCTTATTGAATGCTTAAGTCATGTTGGCAAAGAAAGGGAAGGCAAGCAAAAATGAGGTGTGTGGTTTCTTGGAGGTTTAGTGTTGGAGATCCCGGATATTGTGGGGGCGGCTCGGTCCTTGTTGTGTTGGCCAGTTATTTACAGTGAGTGTAGGAAGCCCGTGTCAGACTTCGTACATCTTAGGAAATGACCATCAGATTATTGTTGAATTTCTTATCTTCTGCTGGATACTTTCATCAAGAAGGAATATGACTTGAGACAGAGTTTGTAGCGACAAGAGAGTCTGTTAAACTATTGAACAAAATGGACTATTGACCGGAGGAACTCCTATATGGGTTATTGGCAGAAACCCGATATGGAATACTATAAACTGGTGTATGTGACTGAACTTTCCTACAAAAATCAAGATCAAGCGTTTCTGAAATTTTTTTGTGTGGGTTGGAGCAAAATATTAAGCACTTTCATCTACTGTGTTTATAATAATAAGAGCATAATGTGATTTTGAAGTAATACAAAGGCTTCAAACACCACGTATACAATAGCATCGTATCTCTGGTTGTGGTGTTGAATCATAAGCCTCCGTGCTGAACCCAACAAGTAAAATTACATTTATATCAGATCCAAAGACGTGTACATTGAGATCACAGCACAGAAGAGGATCCAGTTAAGACGGACAGCAAGTGTATTATGCATTCAGCCTTGTGATGTTTGTCTACCTTAACTGTTAGGTTCCATCTGACACCATATTTGGCAACAGAAGGACAGAGTAACACACACACACACACACACACACACACACACACACACACTTGAGCGGCTAAATACAGTATGTTCAGTTGTCGACGAAGCCACTACCCGGGAACTATACCCACTACTTACTGCCACTTACCCACTTGTATCACTTACCCACTGAAGATGTCACCACTTATCACCACTTATTTCACTTACACAGAAGCTATCACCACTTACAGCCACTTACCCACTTACATCACTTACCCATTGAAGGTGTCACCAATTACCACCACTTACCCACAGAAGGTGTCACCACTTACCACCACTTACCCACAGAAGGTGTCACCACTTACCACCACTTACCCACAGAAGGTGTCACCACTTACCACCACTTATACCACTTAACCACATAATCAACATCGCCTGACGCTCGTCTTTACTTGGCACTGACGAGTTTATGGGAGTAATGGCCAGACGAATGCTCACCAGCTCTTATGCCTACAGTGACTACCTTTCCTCTATACCTGTCGTGATGATATCTTATTACGTAGGAGCGTACTTGGTATTCATTGTTACTCACTCACACCTTAGCTCTACCCTTCACATCGACAGACAGACAGACAGACAGATAGACAGATAAAGTAAAGCACGCCCAGTCTTGTATAGCCAGGTGGAAGTCCGTCTTTGTATAGGTACCGTACGTAATTGATCCAACACGTGAAGGAGAGCCAACAACAAACCGACGCTCATTTGTTTCGTACACTCACAATACATGGACAATTTAGGCAGTTTCTTATAAGCCTCTACCAAGGTGAGAAATCTACAGGTAAGTGTAAACAACGTCATTAATGGCACCTGGAAATAGGGAGGTGCTGGGACGCCACACTGCTGTAGAAGGACCAATACTCACAAAAATAAAGAGACATTATAAAGAAATGCAATAACAGTTTAACACAGAATAAATAACAATTACTTAAAAATTAAATGAAAAGACGGGAATTAACACGTACAAGACGAAAAAAACTTTAACACGACACCTGATTTCAAGGTAAAACTTTCCTTGTTAATATTAATCTGAAGGAGTCCGGTACTAAGAGAATAGGTCGGGGAAGCTACCGACGTGAACTGAGGTCACTAATAGGCTGGTAACTGTTCAGGGTTGTGATCACGAGACACCAGGACCTCTTAGGTAACTTTGTCTTTATCATTAATAGGTATGTGCCTTTATTATTATTACTGTATTATTATTATTATTATTATTATTATTATTATTATTATTATTATCATTATTATTATTATTATTATTATTATTATTATTATTATTATTATTATTATTATTATTATTATTATTATTACTGTATTATTATTATTATTATTATTATTATTATTATTATTATTATTATTATTATTATTATTATTATTATTGTATTATTATTATTATTATTATTATTATTATTATATTATTATTATTATTATTATTATTATTATTATTATTATTATTATTATTATTATCATTATCATTCTATTATTATTATTATTATTATTTATTATTATTATTATTATTATTATTATTATTATTATTATTATTATTATTATTATTATTACTGTATTATTATTATTATTATTATTATTATTATTATTATTATTATTATTATTATTATTATTATTATTATTATTATTATTATTATCATTATTATTATTATTATTGTATTATTATTATTATTATTATTATTATTATTATTATTGTATTATTATTATTATTATTATTATTATTATTATTATTATTATTATTATTATTATTATCATATATATATTATTATTATTATTATCATTATCATTATTATTATTATTATTATTATTATTATTATTATTATTATTATTATCATATTATTATCATTATTATTATTATTATTATCATTATCATTATTATTATTATTATTATTATTATTATTATTATTATTATTATCATTATTATTATTATTATTATTATTATTATTATTATTATTATTTCATTACGATTACTATAATTACAATACTGTCTGTAGTTTTACATATATTTTTATTATGCATGTTGGACAAAGACGGTGGAGGCAGTAATCGGTAGAGGCAGTAGATGGAAGAGGCAGTGGGGTGGGGGCAGTAGGTGGTAGGGCAGGAGACGGTAGAGGCAGTAGATGGTAGGGCAGTGGGTGGTAGAGGCAGGGGAGACGGTGGGGAGCAGGAGACGGTAGAGGTATCAGACGTAGGGCAGTAGACGGTAGGGGCAGTAGAGGGTAGAGGCAGTGGGTGGTGGGGCAGGGACGGTGGGGGCAGTGGATGGTAGGTAGTAGATGGTAATGGCGGTAGATGGTGAGGCGGGATGGTAGGGGTAGTAGATGATGGGGGCAGGAGACGGTGGGGACGGTATCAGACGGTAGAGGCGGTAGATGGTGGGGCAGGGAGATGGTAGAGGCGGTGGATGATGGTGCGGGGAGAGTGATGGTGGGCAGTGAATGATGAGGCAGGCGGGAGACGGTGGGGCATCAGACGGTAGAGGGGCAGTAGAGATGGTAGAGCAGGAAGTGGTAGAGGTGGTAGATGATAGAGGCAGGGAGACGGTAGGGTGTCAGACGGTAGAGGCAGTAGACGGTAGAGGCAGTAGATGTGTAGATGGTAAGGAGCAGGAGACGGTGGGGTATCAGACGGTGTAGGGCAGTAGACGGTAGGAGCAGGAGACGGTAGAGGCAGGCAGTGGATGGTAGATGGTAGGCAGTAGATGGTGGGGGCAGGGATGGACGGTGGGAGGCGGTAGATGGTAGAAGCAGTAGGTAGAGGGGAGACGGTAGAGGCAGGAGACGGTGGGAGGCAGTAGATGGTAGAGAGTAGATGGTAGGGCAGTAGATGGTGAAGCAGTAGATGTGGATGGTGGTAGAAACAGGGATGGTGAGGGATGGTGAGAGGGTAGAGGCAGTGGTGGTAGGGGCAGAGACGGTGGGGCAGGGAGACGGTGGGGCAGTGGATGGTGGTGGATGGTGGGGGCAGAGGTGAGAGCATTGGATGGTGGACGGTGGGGGCGCGGCAGTAGATGGGAGAGGCAGTGGGGAGGTGGGGGCAGTGGGGGTAGAGGCATGGTGGAGACGGTGGGGGCAATGGATGGTAGGAGCGGGGAGGTGGCAGGCGGTGAGGGCAGTGGATGGTGGGGGGCAGGGGAGACGGTGGGAGGAGACGGTGGTGGATGGTAGGCAGGGAGGGGAAGAAGCAGTAGATGGTAGAGGCAGTACATGGTGGGGGCAGTAGACGGTATGGTGGGGTATAGATGGTAGACGGTAGATGGTGGGGGCAGGGGAGACGGTAGAGGCACTAGATGGTAGAGGTATCAAGGCTTGGTAGAGGCAGTAGACGGTAGAGGTATCCAGACGGTAGAGGCAGTAGACGGTAGAGGCATCAGACGGTAGAGGCAATAGACGGTAGAGGCATCAGACGGTAGAGGCATCAGACGGTAGAGGCATCAGACGGTAGAGGCAGTAGACGTGGCAGGAGTACAAAAAGTTACCCTCTTCCCTCTCGCCTCCCTCCCTCCCCTATCTCCCCCTCCCTCCCTCATCCCTTTCTCTTCCACAACTCCTGTCCTAAATCTCTATCTCTTTCTTTCTTCTCCTTCCTACCCTTTTCCTTTCCTTTCTTTCTTTTTTTCTTTCTTTCTTCCTTTCTTCTCTATCTCTATCTACCTCTTCTTCTCTCTCATTCACCTTCCATATTTTTTCTCACTCTATCTTCCTCCTTTTCTCCTCTTTTCAATTTACCTCACACACGTTCGTTAGTTCCCCCATTCCTTTCAGATTTCTTCTTATCCTTCCTTCCAATTTCTCTTCTACGTCCATTTTCTTTATCTCCCCCTTTCTCTATTCACTTTCTACTCTTCTCTGTATCTCCTTCTTCTACTCCTCTGTTCTTATATCTCCTAATTCTACCCTCCTCTTTTACTCTGTTCTCTCTTAGCGTTTTGCCTCTCCCTCTTCCTTCTCTGCCTCACCATCCTTCCACCTTTCCCAATACTCCTCCCTCCTACCCCATCTCCCCGACTTCACCTCCTCTCCCCTTCACTAACCAAGGGCCCCCCCCCAACCTTCTCCTTGGCAGTGGAGTATATAAGAGTGAATCCAACGAGCTGCAACCACACTCGTCCACAAGTTCTCCTACCATCAACACCACCATGAAGTACACGGTAGGTCCTCCGCCGCTCCTAACCTAAACACTCCCTCTTCGCCTGGCCTAGCTTACATAAGGGCGCCCCGATGTTACTTGGACATGGGCATACATTAGAGACTTAGTGTTGATTTCTTGTGCTGGAAATCATTTCGTGGTAAAGGGAGACTAAATCCTGTTGGGAGGTGTTGAAGGCACAAACAGGTATTGTAATAGGTGAGGCTGAGGTGTTTTTTAATAGGCCAGAACGGATTCAAGTAACCTATGTTAGATATATCCTTACAGTTACCAGATAACTTTCTTATGTTCTTATAAGTACAGTATTGTTTCTTTATACATGTGTGTGTGTGTGTGTGTGTGTGTGTGTGTGTGTGTGTTTACGATTTTTAACACCGTCATGGACTCGGGAATGTTTACAAAACAGTGTTGGCGTCTGAACAAAAATCTGAACTGTGTGTGTGTGTGTGTGTGTGTGTGTGTGTGTGTGTGTGTGTGTGTGTGTGTGTGTGTGTGTGCGTGCGTGTGTGTCTTTACATTGCTCAAAAGGTTATATTTCAACAGGGTTCTCATTCAATAATTTCCTAATTTTTTCTGAGTGATCAGTAAACTCAGGTGTCAGGACCACGGAAAGTAAAGTACGTCACCAGCCCCTATTCACAACAGATAAAAGAAACAAACTTAATCATTTTTGTTTGGTTCATCGTCTGAGGCCTCCGGGGTCTTCTATAATATTTCCACTTACAGTAAATATCTGGTATCTTTAGTCCTCTTTTGCTTTAAGGTGAAGTAAATGAAAGTGTTACAAAATATCAAAGAAAATGGAGAAAGATAAGGGAAGAGGAGCAAAAAAAAAAAATAGAAAGTCTCAAGAACACATACACACACACACACTAGTTTAGCGGACCAGTGTAACTAATATTGTTTATTTGTTTATGTTAATCAGCTGATCTTGCTTGCCGCCTGTGTGGTGGTCCTGGTCAGCGGCCGCCCTCAACAGGTTGAAGAAGACTACCCCCCTGTGAGTTTCTCTTCCAGTACAATTCCTACTGCACACTGCCTTCTGCGCCAGTCTATAAATAGTGTTTGCTGAAGTTAGCTTTCCGTGTTCGTGAATATTCAGACATTTTTATTAGCGCCGTTGTGTATTTTTGTATCTTCAAAAGTGATTTAAAAGAATTTGTTTTGAACTGTTTAATTTAAATTTTCCCGAATGATTCGTTTGTATTCACATTGTCTATATTTTACCTGTGTAGCGTCTGTTAGCTTTAGATAGAGCGTATTTAATGTGCATGATACAACGAAACTCTCACGACAGGCCAAATATAGCTTCGAGTACAGGGTGGAGGATAATGAGAGCGGCAACTCCTACGGCCACCAGGAGACCCGCGACGGAGACAACACAGAGGGACGCTATGAGGTGCTGCTCCCAGACACCCGCAGGCAGATCGTCGTGTATAAGTAAGTCCTTCACTTACTCCTGTGTTTCTCACTGCCTCTCCTCCTCTCACGAGCTGGTACCTTCCTAACTGCCTCCTCTCAAGTGTGACCTCTGTGTCGTAGTGAGGTCAACCTTTAGCCCATGGTAGTGGATAAGTTAAATTTTGTCCTACAAGTAACCCTGTGGATTTGTTGTTAATGAATTTGATCTGAATCAGTGAATTGATATTTACTAAACTCTGTCTGCAAAGGAAAAAGAAAAATCAGATTTTAAAATATTTTCGTGTGTACAGTCGGGATAGAAAGTTCGCTTCCCCCCCCAAACCGAGGCAAGTCAGTTTGGAGATTCCTGTGACGAACGTTTGTCCGCGACTGTATACAGGACTTGTGAACCACAACACTCATGGAATTTTCACGTTCTTAGTTATATTTAATTTTCTTTTTCTTTACAGTGTCAACGGTGAAGGAGGTTTTGATGCTGAGGTGACCTATGAGGGCGAGGCTGTCATCACTCGCTAGGTCGCCCTCAAGCATTAGGCCGCCCTCAAATACTAGATCGCCATCAAGCATTAGCATCCATCACAAGCCACACACTTCAACCACAAGATTTCATGGCTTAAATTAAATAAAAAAAGGTTTTAACGAACCATGTTTTCGAAGTTAGGAGGGCGGCCATAAGTTTGAATTAGACTAAACTCTACACTCAAGATCGAACAGTAAATTTGCCGTCTGAAGATAACTTTAACTGTTCAGCATAGACTTCACTCAAAATTATCGGCAAACAAAGCTTCTTTTTCACCTCTGACATCCTGCAAGTAGCATCAAACTCCTTCGATTTATATGACAGACCCTTGAAAACGTGTCTTCGTAATCTTCTTCCTCAGTGTACGTGTATCTGTGATAAAAGTGACCCCGCATGATTTCAGGTCTCCAGGCAGCGGTTCACAAAGACCAGAACCTTGAACTCTTAAAAAATAAAAATAAATAAACACCATTGTAACATTCACCATTAATTGGCTCATTTTAGTCACTACACAGAATCGAAAGTCAGTATATTATTATTACACTGACGTTCTACCACAACTAGAAGCGTTTGTTATTCTTGATGAGAAGAAAACACAAAAACAAAGAATAACCTACGAAACTTCGAGAACCTGGTAGATGTGAATGTGTAGACGTCCAAAATGTTATTATTGTTGCTGTTATGATTATTATTTTTGTTGTATTCGTCCTTTAGCTAATGGGTGAGACTGCCAGGCCGCGCCAAGGTTCTCCTCACCCCACTGCTTCTTCTGTTTGAGCTCTGTTATCAATAAACTGTTATAAAAAACGCGGTGTTTTGATAATTTACACACTCCCCTCCAGACCCCAAACACTGTGAACTGATGGCTAAAGCACTCACCCACTCTCTCTGTCTCTTCGTTTAAACACTTTTTCGTTTTATCATGTATACAATTCAGTACAGGTATACTGATGTAAAAAAAAAAAGCCCAAATTATTGTGGTAATTGTATAGCTGAGAGTGGCAATGTGGCGGAGGTTCTCCTCTCGGCCACACAATGCCAAATCTGACGGGTCTTATTATACCATAGTCAGGTAAACATGTCTTCGTGGTTTGTCCATCAGAAGATACGAAAATATTCAAGAAATTCTGACAAATTTGAAAAAATTCACGCGTTTACCCTAAACACTGTCCGTTTTCTCATTAGAATATGACTGAGGTACGATAACATCTAAGTATTGACAAAAATATTTATATATGTATGTTTAAACCTGAACCCCGATAAAAATCCCATTTTATATTATAAAACATTATAATACAACCGACTTATACAACTTTTCCGATTGTTTAATTAAATTTTGTCGAAATGGCAAACATACATGGCATGGCAACTTTAAAGTAGGAAGAATGTGAGGTGGTCGGAGCCGGACCCGGAGGCAAACTTCAATCCTTTATCTTCGTATTTCAGTACTGTCTCTCGACTCTTTGATAGGGGACATCGCTGGCCGGTGTCTGCTAAGAATTAATAGAAACTGAATGTGAAAAGGACCTGACAACGTACTGAAGTTCTCGGCCCATTGTGATGTGAATCGAGCAATTAAACCAGTAAGTCTTATAAGGTCGTTTAGATATCTAGATATCCCTCGTAACCCTAGTCAAGAATGAGGTGCTTTCCCGTCTGGAGTACTGTCACCCCGCCTGATCCCCGAGATATGCACATAGACACCTCAGATACTCAGAGAGAATAGAACGCTTGTAGCTGCCTAGCTTATACTGCAGACGGGCAAGGGGTGATCTAATTGAAGTTTATAAACTTCTCGGCGAAAAAGGCAGTACTCCATCGAGTGTCCATACCTGGAACTGGCGGACGCCCGTCCCACAAGGGGTCACAGCTCAAGGTTGAAGGAGCCACTAGTCCAGAAAAGTGTGTTTTTTTTTTAGCTTAACAAATTTATTGACAAAGCTTGGAGTACAGTTTGCCTATTCTGAGTAATTCAGTCAGGTCTTGACACTGAGGGCGGTATCACTTCTCACTGCCACGCAGGACATCATATTCATTAACAGTATATATAGGTCAGATTCATGTGGGTGATGTCACTGTTCACTGCCATGCAGGACAGTGGTTCATATACATTGGGCGTCATATTCTAATTGAAGACTAATCAGTGTGGGCTAGCAAATTTGGGATAAACAGCAAGAGTGTCCTCAAGCACCCCTGATTCAATGTAGTAATTACAAAGTTCAAGATACAATAAGCCAGGTGGTCTGAAGTCTTTGACAGTGTCACATTCAATAATATAGTGTTCAAGTGTATGCTTTAAAGTTTAAAGGCTTATCACAAAGTTTACATGCTGAGTGTTCCGGTATGGGTACAGCGTTACTAACTTGCCAGATGTGTCTGTATCCTAGCCTAATTCTGGCCACGACTACATCACATTGTCTGGTTGAATTAGGTATCATGACCGTGCTGATAGACTGGCCAACGAGGCATATAAGAAAGAAAATGTTGACCGTGACCTGGGCTTCTTCAATGCTGTACTTAAAAAGTGTGAAGGTAAACCTTTCGGAGTGAGAATTGTGAACTCTTGGAACAATCTGCCAGAGAGCGTTGTGACGGCACCGAGTGTGAGCTCTTTTAAGAACCAGACTTGACTAACACTGGCGCAGGTACAGATACATTTAGGAGCCAGTACATGTCCACTACTTGCTAACAGTGTGTAACAGAGAACTGGCCGACTGGCCATTGGTGAGGATAAAATATAAAAGTAAAAAAGAAAAAAGAAATGTATAGTGCAATGGCAGGGGAACATTGGGTCGGAAGTATTGAGATCTCGAATAATATACTATAACTCAATTCAACATCTTTGTTTTTCATCATGTTCCAAATTTGGTCGTTGTAATCATAACACGCATAGCTACAATATGGTCAAACGAATTTTAATATATCTTGTTTGGTTACAGAGGGAAAAATGGGAACACTGTGAAACAAAAATTACGCATTTTTCTCGAAAAATTCTGCAGTTTTTATTCGTACTTTTAGTTTTCTTTTTTACTTGTATGATCTTAAGTAACATATTTAAAAATCAGGCAAATCCACAAAAAAAGAATGAGTTACGCCTCCAAGAGTAAATGGTGGATGAACTCCTTCAACACATTATGGTGGGGTAATAGTGCAGGCAAGAGAGCTGCAGCACACCAAAGTCTCTGCCGTGTCGATATTGTTGTTGGTTCCCATTTTATATCTATTATTCAAACTAAATAAAGGATTTAAATTTTAATTGCGACTCAACCAAAAACAACCTAATAAAACTTTTAAAGATTACTTCCATTGAGGGAATTATTCAAATACAAAGATATATAAATTTGTGATTGTAAAACATGAAAAGCACTGCACTTTAAAGTCTGAAACATTTAACACCTTTGCTCAAATAATGGCTGCGAAAATGGCGTCAAAATTCCAGTAAGACTTCCAGTTATGGGAAATAAATCTTATATTGTAATGTTTTCCTGTATTCTCTGTTTTGACATTTATAGAAATATTAATGTTTATTATTATATAATACACCAACAGTATTTTTAATATATTTACATACAATATATAGTAAATACACATAAACAAATATATTTATCAACAATCATAAACTAAGCACACAAACATGCATACACAAACACACTTTATACACACACATACACACACGTTCATGTACGTGTATAGAAATTCCCTTTTTAATTTCCTGTCATTTCCTGTGTTTTCAGTTTGGTTAATACGTCAGAGGAGCTCCTGTGTGAAGTGTGTGTGTGTGTCTCACTCACTCACATCTGGGAAACATAATCGCTAAGGTCACCCTTAAGCCAGACGCCTTCCTTATCTTCTTACTTCACCCGATCAATCCATTATGAGTGACTGTGATGACTGTGACTGTGGTGACTGTGATTGTGGTGACTGTGGTGACTGTGACTGTGATTGTGGTGACTGTGACTGTGACTGTGGCTCCTGCTTCTGGATCTGCTGTACCGACGGTGAGTAACACATTAGTCAATCATGAGTCACCTTTATCTTGACTCACTATATGATGAATGTTACTCGATAGTGAAGATGTAATAATAATCTTAACTGGTTGACTTTAGCATAACCACAAAAATAACATCTGGCAATAACATGACAAATTATACAGTGTCTATTTCAATTACTTATGTTAGTGACAGAAGTAACGTAACGAATATAGAACATAAGATCCTGTGTGTTGTAATTTTCTCTGGTACCTCACGAACATATCTGATGTCATTCCCGAAAATTATTTTAGTGTTTTAACTTGAGTGTTTCAGTTTGGAGGAATATTTACCATACAAGCCATTGAGAATCGGTGATATATACCTTGGAGTGTAAAATCGGCTTGTGGGAAGACTATATTGTTGACCATGTTACGTGAACCACATTATTTATCTGGCCATTGAATTTCAAGCTGCATATCATCCAGCGTAGAAATAGTAGTATACTTGTGTAGTATTTCTATGTTTTAAAGAAAGACTTACATTAAACTGCGTGACTTCGTTTCTTTTCGAGTTGATTGTATAATCTCACTAACCATAAGAGGACCCAGATAACTCATGACAGTTAAACAGGAATGGTAACGGTGATTTACAAAAGGCCTCGAGTATAATGTGTTAAAGATTACAGGCTCTTATCATTGGATCTGTTGATTGGCTTAAGTCTTATCAACAGAAGATTACAAGGGTATTGCAGTCTCATGAGGGTCCTTTACTTAGTCACGGTTATACATACCTATTGGTGCTAAATGTACACTTTTGTTGATGATTGTCAGTACCCCTTTAGTGTCAGTTAAAGATACGATGGATATAGCTAACATCGTATCATATTATTATTTAGTGCTGTGTTGTTCAAAGTGTTGTAGTCAGACTCCTGTATATAATATTTAATAATTCCTTTCTCATTTGGTTCATCACAGACACAAGTAATGATCGTCGCCGGAACCAAAAGAAGCAAAATGAGGATGACGCTGTTGTGACGACCCAACCACTTAGTTCGTCAGTTCCTGCCAATACTTAACCTTAAGTAGCGGCACCTATCTGCACAAGACACATACGAGCCAACTGGAACCCAATTCATCTACTGCCTACACCATCTGTAGGGAATATCTCCAGCTAGATCCTTCACTCAGATAAAATTACTGTCAAGCTCTGTGTCTGTTTATGTTTCAGCTGATTACAACTACCAGGGATCTTAGGACAATAAACCCAAATAATCCTGCCACGTCAGTTGTGCTTCCTGTCTCACTGCAAATACGCAGAAGTCAAAATGACAGATTTTGGAGCAACTCGTCTGTTATCGTCATTATTTGTTCTTGTTTTGAAGAATGTATGTTTTAGTGTTGCTGGAAAAGTGTTGTCCTATAACTTGTATGACTACAACTCCGGTGACAAATTCGACAATTACCTGGCCGCTGCACGGTAGGACAGCCGAGCAGAGGCTGTTGTTGGCAGCCTGAGTGGCGCCATCTTGACATGATCCATGACATTAGTGATCTACGATACACAATGTGCTGTCTTCCGCCGCCACCTCTACTTCCGGTGCCACCGTGACCTCAACTCCAATACTGACGCTCCTGGGCATTCTCCCCGTCTCTACTCTGACGCTGCCAGGCCTAATGTTCCCACCTATCTCCTCCGGCGAGGTAAAACAGTTCATGTCCCTCCTTCACAAACTAGAGTGCCATATTGAGCATCTATTTGGATCCCTCCTTACCGTCGTCACCGACCTACAGCGTCGAATGGTGCCCTCTGTGAGCCCCACCTACCCACACCCAACCTCACCGCCGCGGGGCTTGTCCTTGGTGTACCCTGCTCTCCCCGAGTGTTGGCCTGACTCATTCCCGCACCTCTGTCCTGTCTACTCTGCGCCTCAACCTGTCCAGCCTCCTCAGGCTATGTCTGCTCCTGTCTCTGGACTGTCTTCATCAGGGCTCCCTGTTGGACCAGGGGACATGAGATTCCCCACCCCAATCCAGCTCTCCGCACCGTTGGCCCATATCGGGGACATGCACGTGGACTACTTATCTCCGCCAGGAATGAAAATCCCAATTTATCTCTCCACCTCGTCGCTGCAACTACCTACGCACACGTCATCACACTCACTCTAATAGGTTTGTCCCTTAATACTGTCAATGCCTGTGCCCCCCCGTGCCTATCCTACCACAACACAGTCCCCAGCCGTCACCAACGAGTATAGGATAACCCCCTCCCAGGACAAAACCCCCTTATGTAGAGTAAAAAAATAGGTAAAAAAAACTCATTTTCTATTTTCAGACTTAAAGTACATTTTAATAATTTTAAAGAGGGCGTCTCTAAAAAAAATATAAATATAAATAAAAATTTTTTATTAATAAACAATTAAAAATTAAATAACTTTAAATATTGAAGCAATCCTAAAAATATAGTTGATCACTGTTTTGTCTATTTGAGTAATCCTTCAACAGGTGACCACTGCGTCAGGTCACCATTTAGTGGTCATGTGATCTATCCTGGTATCTTAGCAGCCTGTCAGGCACTAAATCATAATTAACCTTAGGTCATTGCTGGGTAGGTCAAGTCAAGTGTGTATATAAAGCTGCCTCATCTAATCTGAAGCATCATTTTTGGTCGCTATCACGTGATCTAAACTGTCTGGTGGGAATATACTGTTTTTGTGAGCTTGGTAGTGTTTTTAAAAATTGGTTATACTCTCTCAGTGACCCGAAAAATGAGTCTCTCTTCAACCACCATGGAGATCATCAAGAACAATAAAGGAGGCTCCAAACTGTCTGCAGAAGGTTACTTATACGCCAAGAAGAGTTGCAACAGTACACGAATACGTTGTGAATGTTCTCAGAGGAATACACTTTCTTTGCTAAGGTTTTGCTCATACAGATTTGGAGGTGAAGCTGCTACTTTCTGTGACTGAACACAGCCACGACCCAGATCCTAACACGGTGAAGGCAGCTAAAGTGAAGAACACCATAAAGGCAGCTGCAGACCTGTACATATCGTAACAGACGCTATATGTCAACAACCACTTGAAGTTCGTTGTGCAATTGGTCGACTTGACTCGGAAGCGTAGTGTCCGACGTCTATAGGAAGGAGCATTGCCAAAGGACCCAACTTACCTACGAGAATTGGAGCATATCAGTGGTGAATGGAAAACTACAGGAGCTCCAAAATACCAGGATTTCCTCGATTATGACAATGGACCTGAGTCGAGAGAGAGAGAGTTACAGTGTTTGCAACCAACTAGGCACTTGAACATTTATCACCCAGTACCACCTGGTTTATGGATGGGACTTTTGCAACAGCTCCAAGACTGTTACAGCAGTTGTATCTGCTGTAACATGTGTGTATGCTTTTTTGTCTGCAAAGTCTCAATCCATCTATGCAGGACTCCTCCGGGCAATCTTGAATAAATGTGACCATCTGGGGGAGTTTGTCCGTAACGATATGTGCAGGTCTGCCTCTGTTGGTCGAAGCAGCTGTCTTTATTGTGTTCTTCACCTGTTTAAAATTGTTAAAATGGACTTAAAGTCTGAAAAGAAAAAAATGGGGGCTTTTGTACTCTAAATAAGGGTTTTTTGTCCTACTTTTCACTTTACTTGAGGTATTGTCCAAGGGGGGTTTTGCCCTAGAAAGTTTTGTCCGAACCCGTCACTAACACACCTTCCTCCTCTAGACAGGCCTGGCACTTGACTTATTAGGGACATGCCATTTGATGTATTTTTTGTGAATCCTTCAAAGTACAGTATTATACAGATCATTAACGACTTTATTTTATTTGCCCTAAATGTACAATACGTAACACCTCAGGGCGCTGGGTCCTGTCACAGAACACAATACAGTATAAGGTTTATTACCCAGGCGTATTATGAAGACTAAGCCAAGGTCACCACGCCAGGAGTCCCAAGATGATACAATGTCTTGTTTATAAAATTGTGTGTGTGTGCGTAAAGACGATTATAGTGTCTCTGAATCTGATATATAATTAGTGGCATAGCAAATGAGCCTCTGAGCTTAAACTTAAAGTAATACAGATGCTTTGAGGATACATTTCTTGCGTTTACGTAAATTTTCTGAATATTTTGTGAACGGTCTTTTCTGGTGTCATACGGCTGGAAAGTTGCGTTCGACTTGTTAATTATTATTTTGTTTTAATAATTACTTTCTGGGTACTTAGTAATGAAAATATTTCCTATAATTAACTCAAACAATAAATTTATTCCACCAAATCAACATGAGTAAAACAATTATTGGTATATAGTAACACTGAAGGCTATAATTTTATTACTGCGCTTCAACAACTAAGGTGTTTAAGCGCACAAAGTAGTTACGCTAGTTCATCAACAGTTAAATATCGTGAAAGATACAACTCTCTGGATTGGTACTATGTTTAGAAATAAAAAAATCAAATTCTATACAGACCACGACTTGGAAACTCCATGGTCACTTGTAAATCGATATGGTAGGTGGCAACACTGACCTGACATGACGCACATCTACCGTTCTCCGTACTCATTGCCGAGTACTCGACTACACTTATCAACTAGAACAGATACTAATGTAACAATCAACCACAACATTAAATTTCGTTTTCCATGGTCAAGTCTTTAATATGGTAATTAATACACAAGAATCTCAAGTTGGCATCTTGCTAGCTTGTTTAAGGAGTTGCCTATTTTTTGTAGTCTTTTATATTTTTAATGAGCTTGGATGACATTGTTTCTGAAATTGACTATTAAAATACACATCACGTATATATAACCTATTTTCCTGCATCATCAAAACGTGAAAACCTTATTCATTATGCTCAATATAAGGGCTCATTTGGCACACGAGAGAAACGCCCACTCTTGCCTTGCCTGGGGAACTTTGTATGAGACGGAATTCAACCTTCATAATAACCTAGTATTATTATCTGTGCTAGACATACACCAGCCCACCACCACACCATGTGCGAGGAAGCTTGTGCTTGTGTCACCGCGTTGATGGAAAGTGGTTGTGACTGTGGTTCCTGTGACTGTGTAAACGGTGACTGTGGTTGCTGTGACTGTGCAGACTGTTGTTCGTGTGATAACTGTCACAGCGGAGATTGGTCGTGCTGCATGTGTGTATACCCCTACAATACATACAGTAAGTGTGAGCTGGCGAGTTTTATAAATGTGTCTCGGTATCCTCGAGGCCAGTGGTGCCATCTTGAGTCCTTCACACGAATGATTTTCTCTTAAAACTGTTAATGTGAATAGATATATATTTTACAAGCTATAGCTATTGTCTGTCCAGAGCTACACGCAGTTTGAAAAAAAAAAGTTTGGATCACCTGAAGAAGAGACACCCCGAGTTTATTTCATCTGATTATTATTAAATAGTGCACCCTAACACTACCTGAGGGGTTAGGTTAGGTTAGTTTAGGTCAGCGTGGTTAATGTTAAAGTGAAGTAAGTTAGGGAAGAGGGGGCTAAAGCTCACTAGTCTATTACGAGACGTGGCCACAGTGACGACCATAAAATTCATGTACTGTACAGGTTTCCAAGTGAACAGGGGCGGTGAGGCGTGTTGGACTGGGGGATTCATTACCCAGGAACACTCACGATAAATTAATGTACCCGTCTTAATTTTTTTTAATTTATCATTTCAGCACTTAGTACCTTACTAGCCGTTCGGGCGGTAGGTTTCTTTTTTGTTTCTTTGTTATAAGTTTCATTGTCCTCCAGTGTTAGTACAGGGGAAAACCAGAATACCCGGAGAAAACCGGTTATGTTTGGTAGTGTCACACAGGATAACACCCTTCTCACATGTGTCCAGGGCAGTACTCGAACCCATGACGAAATAATGAGAGGTACGCATGTTACCACTGTACTACCAGCGAGGATGTATCTCTAAAATACAAAGCGATATCAATGTCCCTTTGCAGTTCGGAGTCCCACGAAGATCAGTTTTGGGACCACTTCTGTTTACAGTCTATACCAGTAGTCTTGCATCTCTGCTGGAGGCTCGTGGTGTTGCCTACCATTTGTCTGCTGGTAATACACAGCTTTTTGTGCAAATAATAAATGTTGAGGATATTGAGGAGATAATGAAATCCTTGATGTGTGATATTAAGATTTGGATGGCGAGGAGAACACTTAAGCTGAATGATGGCAAAACCGAGATTATCGTTACCCAAGGAAATAGGAGGGGAGACGGCACAGATGATTTTGGCTCTATAATCTTGAAGTGTATTTTGACTCGAAACTGTATTTTAAAGAGCATAAAAATTCAGTAGTTAAGAATTGCAACTTTAATACAGCGTTACCAGGCTTATTATTGCCTTCCCACCGAGGACTCCCACTACCCCATTCTTGATCGAATTGCATTGGCTTCTAATGGAAGTTAGAGTGGAGTTCCAGCTCTGTCTAATGACTTTTAAGACACTAGTTACCTGCAGGGCCTGGACACCTGAAGCAGAGGTTCTTACATGTATATCGAGTTGTCGTAAAAAGGGAGGTGTGAAAAGTGAAGGATGGCGGGCAATACAAGGTCCCGGAATTGGACAAAAACTAAATAAAGAGGAAATTCTTTAACAAAACGTAATAAACGGAAGATAATATGTTTATTTAATATTATTATTTATAGTCCTTCAGTAAAATATCAGAAAATTTATAAGAAACTTCACACACACACACACACTAGTAATCAACCAGTGTATTCACTCCCAGTCAATCTTGCTTTTTGCACTGTCACTATGTTGAAATGCCCTGTAGTTTGAGCTTCTCCCCACCTAGTTGTTATATTTCATATTTGTATCACTTATGTTACTTGTATATCATTTGTAAGTCAAGAGACCCATTCCCCAATTATGTAATTGTATATTTTCAGCCTTCCGGCTGCCATACTCTTTCAATAAACCGTTAATTATTATTAATTATTATTATTGTTTAGTAAGAAATATATCCTAATATTGAGGGTAACTGCTCACAGGCGGCCCTAACAAGCACAGGAGTGATCAAATGAACACATATTTGTGATCCTCAGCCAGACTCAACTATTCCCTTTGTTAATTGGTTTATTATTGTATTTATGTGTGTTTTTGTCTTCCCACAATACAATCTTTTATGAATTTATAAAAATCTCCCTCCACAGCCTGTTGCGGTGGCAATATAGAAAAGGACAAGCAGAATGAGGTTGTGACGACCCAGCCAATAGGTGGACCAGTTGAGGGCATCACCAAGCCTTCGTGAGGTACACCAGCCATCTATCTGTACATGGAAACCCGATGAAAAAAACTCATATTACTCCATATTACTCATTCTCTACAAGACGGCGTCACAAGAGCACCAAACTGGCATTTTTCAAATTGGCGAAGAAATCCTATTACGTTAATATGTTAAATTAATGGTAAGTTTATTTGTAGTAGCTATAGTCGGAATTGTAGTACCAGATTTTCTTGCCAGTTTAAAAATGTGTTGGTTTAGGTGCTCGTGTGACGCCAGCTTTACGAGTTAGTATGCACGTGTTGCTGGTCGGCCACTCTGTGACACTTGCTTTGAAGATTAGAATAATTACGATGTTTTTATATGTTTGTTCTTTGTAAATAGATTTTTATTGCATTTTTAAGAGATATTTTTGTACTATATTTTACAAGATCATGTCACAGAAAGAGATGAGAGAGTTACGTTTCTATGTTAAGAAGCGACTGAGACTATTACTGTACTTCAAATGATCAAATCTTATGACAATAAACACACTGTATCCTGAGAGAGGGAGGAAGAAACCACACAAGTTACAACTCTTACAAAATAGGGTTAAATTTCTTCCTCGGACGCTCAAAATAGCTGTACGTCTACCTAAATTTTAATCAAATCCCACATTATTGAAAATTAGAGCCTCTTAATGGACTGATTTCAATGCTATCGTAGAAAATAGGGTTATAAAACATTTTGAGTTCGTAATCCGCCCGTTGTAAGGCTATAGTGTAATGTTAAGGACGCAATACAAGTTGTACATCAAAGACCAGTAGTTTCAAGATGTACAAATATTTCAATAAAAACACCCAGCGTTTCTTGAAAATAAATGCTTTAATGGTAAATTTTGTTCATGGATTCTTTTAATCGGCTGTTAACGACGTTTCTGAAGATGTTCCGGAACAGTTTAATTTATTTTGAGCAATTACAGTAACATTAAATACTGCCAAATGAAAATTAACTTTTCGAGTCAGCAGTCTGCAGTGATCTCTGTAATGATGCTTAGTAATTACCTAAACTTCACCGCTGTAAGATAATAAACAAACCGCTGTTCTAGGTTAAAAATAGGAGTACAAAGTTTGTTGACAATACAGATGGGACCATTGAGAATCGACCAGCGTTTTACAACCATAAGTTTACTGTAAGTTGAGAAAATATACATCAACCAATACAAAGATTGATTTTTATTTGTCCATTGTTTTGTGTCACATTGATACCTTCTGTACTCAATGTGCACGAGTCCAAGTTATATTTAGACCTTGCGTGAGTCGACAGTGAGTGTTACGCCAAATGGATCACATGAAGATTAACCCCCCAGATTATTTCACCTCAAGCACCCTAACGCTAACCTAACCCAATCTAATCTGATCTGGCTAATTTAACCTAACCACCAGGTAGCGTTAGGATGTTTAGCCATCAGGTGAAATAAGCTGGCAGCTAACTTCAGGTCATCCCATTACATAACACACATGACGAGAAATTGGTAACTGCATTAAGTCAGGGTGACCGTCGTCCTCAAAAGGTTAAACAACGATTTTAAAATTATAAAATGATCAATCTCAAAGGTTAAACTCTCGTCTTCAGGAGACCAATTTTTCATTCTCAAAGATTTAAATTATAATTATTGTTATCGCCGCTGGCTTCAGATTTTTTTTTTTTACAGATTGCCCCGGAGGGGGCTAGTTTATTGGGCACCCCCTTACATCCTGTGCAAGGTGAAGCGCAGAAGCGTTTACAGTGCCCAACAGGGAAGCATGCTAAGTTCATGCTTGCCTTTATGACTCATGCATTAAGGGCGTGGAAGCCTGAAGGGTCATGGGTTTTGTCAGCAAATTACATTAAGTGACAGAATGATGAGTGTGTGGAGGGGGAAAATTCCCGGTACATTTCATCTGTTTATAGCAAAGCGTGGCAGGTCCCTAATAATGTCAAATGCCAGGCCTGTCACTAGGAGGAGGGATATCTGGTCAGGGAGGGAAGAGGTGTTGGTAACGGCTGTTTTTCATGAGATGCTTCGTAAAAAAATCAAGATGTGATTTGAGTGCTGCAGTGAGCTCCACGTCTGAGGGTTGTTTCTGTACTGACTCGGGAATTACACGGGTAAAGAACTTCCATCCCGTGGGCGTCCTCGGAGGTGCAGTATATTCACAAAAGTTCTTACGATGAATATTTTGGTGTGTGAGGATGTACTGTAGAGTAATGATACACCGAAAAATTAGATTTAAGCTAAAACACATAAAATAATGTTGGAATATTTTCAGAATTACACTAAGATTACCGTAACGGGATACGTTCACCCAAAATACAAATACGACAAAGGTATGCGTTATTGGTGCTAAGTGAACGTGTCTAGTTAAACGCGAATTTATTAACGATGAGCCCTTGCGATTAATAGAAACGGCACTGCGGTAAACAAATTCAATATGTTAATGAAATGCTTTGATTATTTTTTAGTGTTTTATCAGAGACCCGCTCGCTGAGTCCTTTAATTAGGTAGTAAGTAGTAGGCAGCTATCAAACAGGGAGGTACTACCGCCTGGGAAGATATTGGAAGCATAATGTGTTGTCTAATGGTAGACCCTGCTGCCATATGGCATCACAAGAATTGCGACCTAGTCCCAGGTTGCTGTTCTGACTTTCTGCCTCATATATACACACAATTGCAGGGTCTCAATTGTTTCTCATTACTACTGACAACACAACATACATATTGTATATCGTTTCTCACTCTTGATTTATTTTTGTATTTTTTGTATTTATTTATGGTTATTATTATTTTTTATTGTATTATTTTAATTTTTTATTATAATTTGTGTTAATGATTATTATTGTTATTTTTATTATTATTATTATTATTATTATTATTATTATTATTATTATTATTATTATTATTATTATTATTATTATTATTATTATTATTATTATTATTATTATTACATTTTCGCCCCACAGGCCCTGATGTGGGTCAGTGACCTGTGCCCGGGTGGGCTAATTTCCATAAAAAAATCTCTCCACTTGATATTTTTTGATCGGTTCATGAATCAGTTAAGAATGTATTATGATAAACTCTGACTCATTTCCTGGACCTCAAACGGACATTCCTTACTGTTACATTATCTCCTACTCTTCGATCCAACATCTGGCGCAGCTGTCGTGTCGCCACTCCTGTACGCTCACTTAAACGGCAATTTCTTCTCTTAGATATGCACGAGTAAATACGTTGGTTACAGTACCATACGAGCCCTAGTATTAATGAGCTCCAGTAATAACAGCCCCAAGTACTAATGCAGCCCAGTGTTAATAAGTTCTAGTCTGACTTAATTACCTTTTGATCTTCAAGAAACAACCGCTCAAGGCGTTTTCAGGGTGAACATATATTTATACTGTATTCTGTATGTACTGTATATCCTAACCTATATCGCCGTTATATATCCATAAAATCCTTTTAATGTAAGTAGAAAACCCTTATCCAGCCTTGAAAAACCTTGATAAAGGTAAAGACACCTTATCCAACCGTAAAACCATTTGATATGAGTATTAATCCCCATAAAACTACCCTTTACCCTTATTTTAATTAGAAACGCTTTATCCAGCCCTAAAACCTCCGTAAGACGAGATGATACGGGCTAGGGGAAGAGGGCTTCATTCTGGTGCTTACACAAGAGAGAGAAGATAAGAGTAGATAGTTTATCTTGTATCTTGCTTTCATTGATTACTGGTTACATGGGCTTCAATTCTAATCGGCCCCTATTCAACCTAACCATTAAGATTGGAACCCAAGTCCTAATGGGAAGCCTGTGGCATGATGCTGGTGGGTCAACATCAGGTGAGAAAGAGCACCCCTCGCTCTCCTGTCAACCTGCAGGGAACAGTCAGTGTACAGATGGTGTCCGGCAGGGAATGATGAAGAGACACTGTCTATGGACCCCAGAGCTGGTTGTTTCTGAAGGAGAGGTGGACCCTCTTTTGAGGGGTGAGTGTAGGACACTACTGGACAGTGAATAGTCCAAGATGGAGGACCATCGTCAATATATGCAACAGGAACATTAGTATCGAGGTTTTGTTCGGCTCACTTAGCACCCAACCTATTCAGATCAGACACACATTTGCGTCTACAATTTGTTCCCATTGCCAAGAGAGATCCAGAAGTGGATTTCTTTTTTGTAGACAACATGACACAACGGACGAAGGATTTTGACAACCCTACCGAGACAATAGGAGTCGCAGTGTTCAAGGACGTCCGCCCCACAAGGGGTCACAGCTCAATATTGAAGAAGCCACAAGTCCAGAAAACTGTGAGGGCAAACTTTTTCGGAGCAATCTGCCAGAGTGTTGTGGCGCCACCGAGTGTGAGTTCTTTCAAGACTTCACTAATATTGGCGCAGGTTCAGATACATCCAGGAGCCAGTGCATGCCCATTACTTGCCAACACTGCGTAACAGAGACGTGACCGACCGCCCATGCGGCTAACGAGCCGATCAGTGGTGAAGAGGATAAAAGTATTTTGACATCCATCGGACTTCACCTTGCAGATACTTTCTATAGCGAGTGTACCTGCAGGATTTTTTTTTTTAGATAATGTAAAGTTTTGCATTTTGCATTTGTATCTCTGGGTAAGGTCTGTTTTCTTGTGTGTGTCTGCACACCTTGTTCTTATTTTAATTCAGGTGCTCTATACCAGGAGCAGATCCAGGAATATCGAAAGGGGGGTCCAAGAAGTTTTGGGTGGGGGAACATGGCGAGCAAAGCGAACCCACCCAGTTGGGGGGCTTTGGGGGGGTGGGGGCTGTGATTTACCTTTTACTATCCCAAAATGCCGGAGGAAGTCGCTCAAAACAGTATCTAAAGCGTAAGTAGACGTAGGTGCCGCAACTGCTTATAACCAGGGTAGTTTATCTTTATAATTACAAGTATCCATCAGTGTGTAAACTGTAACATTGCATTACAGTCATACCTGTATGAAAACAGTATAATCACCATACATAGCATGTTTGATGCCCTCTGTGAAACGCAGTATCGACGACAGGGTAGAGTTGCCACGTGTCTGGTGCCAGTGTGTTCTGGACGCGGGAGGTGGTTACACCAAATATTAATTCAACAAACGTGAGATGCCATTAGTGTTTACCTTACCTATTAATATAACATACCTTGATATCTAATACATGTATGCATATCAAATGATATGTATGGATACAGTCAACATATGTATTTAGTTGTCGTTTATGTTGAGCAGAGGATCATTTAAGCATTACCACGCACATATTGTTTACTGTATGTGTCTAACATGGATATTGTCTTTTTCAGACTGCCATTCCCTGTTAATATAACCATAGTAATTATATTCATATGAAACATGTTAATGACAACCTGCAGGAAACGTCTTATATATTACATGGCAACCATTGTGGCATGCAGGGCTACCACCTGTACACCTGATCCTCTACCATTTCCACACAACTGGCAAGTTAGCAACTCTGTACCCAAGTAGTAGGGTACAGACGTACCCGGAGTGCTGAGGGGACTGCAAACAGTAAGTCTTAGCTGCTTATCCCGCCCACTGCTTATTTTTTTCATTTTGTTCTTTAAAGAATGAATCCAAAGGTAAACATCTCTGTAACTCGACAGAAATTATAGTCTGGAGTAGCGTGTGTCGTCTGGTGTTGGCGCCGACACACACCACTATCTTGGTAAACAAGGCTTTTGTTCACAGTGCCTGCGAGGGAGAAATGTGAATCTGCCAGAATACTTGTAGACACCACTTATATTTGATGAAACATGAGTGTTAATGGTTGGTTGTGAAGACAATAGATGTCTTATATTGAATGAATATTCCATACCAGGAAATTCTCTAGCAAAAACATAAACTGTATAGATATATTTTAATTTTATCAGTTAATATATAATTGTTTCTTTTACTTGATATATTCACCATATAAAAATAAACATTGGTATTGTCACAGTGTTATGGCACTGCTTGGTGAAGATAACTGAATAATTAATCCAAGTTTTCGTATATCTAAACTGTCGCAGTATGCAGTGAACGCTTCGTGACTGGTCAGTTTCTCATCAATTGGCAAAGTTAGCATGATTGGTTTATGATTAAAACAAAAGGAATGAAGGCCACAGTATTTACCCTAACCCAAGGATTTAACTTCACTTTGTGTCAGCTGTGTATTAGAACAGTATAAAGTGTTTCTTAAACTACAGTGAGTGAAGATCCTTTGTTGACGATTCCATTAATTTTATCTTAAACTTCTCCGAGTATTTTCTCTGCTGGTTAATGTTTACAGCGACAAAACGGATCACAAATCAGCATCATTACAATTATATCTCTGACCTTAGCCCATACTGTATACACAATGATATATGAAATTGTGAGGTTACACATAATTACTACACTGATAAACACCCGTTTCTCTGCGTAAACCAATTTTGATAATGCTCTGTTTTTGCCTAAAGACGTGGATGATATATTTTTTTTAAATTACCCATAATCTCGGAACTCACTGCTACTTATGTGTTAACTCTTCGTTTATGCTTACAGCAATGGGGTATTTTAAGTCAACGAATATTTTAATATCTGTATCAATATTTAGAGAAGCAGCCATCCCCGACAAACTGGGAAAGATACAGTACAGTAGGTTCGCTTAGGTTTTAGCCAAGTGGTTTTTTTTCTCTCGAAATGATCTAAATATGATTCATTATTCACTGTTAACTAGGAGCTGGATTCATAAACGTTCCCAAGTTAAATATCGCCATGATTAAGGTATTAACCAGTTTATTTTACTTGCTATCGCCCCAGACAGTTGACACAGTGACAGGCGACAATGTTGTGGACGGCAGACAAGACGAAGGACGTGCTCTTCTGGGGCTGCGTCAGCTACGCCGTCGCCACTGTCATTAACCTACTGGGCATAGCTGGATTCTGGTCGACCTTCACCATTATTTGGCCAGTGTGTGCTGGCATCTACGTGGCCCAGGCCAGCCTGCAGGTGAGCCCCACTTCACCGCATCATTGCGATACTTTCATCACAATGTATGACACAATACTGTATACTCCAATTATGTCGCAGATAGTAGGAGAAATATTTATCACTCAAATAGCAAACTAACGGTAAGCGAACCAATATTAGTTATAACAATCATAAAACAATTAAAGAATCAGAAAAATATAAACTTTCTTTCAAGTGTTCCTCAGTGTCACCAGAAAATTAGTAAAATTATTGTTGTATAACTACAGGTGCATACTCCAATTATGTCGCAGATAGTAGGAGAAATATTTATCACTCAAATAGCAAACTAACGGTAAGCGAACCAATATTAGTTATAACAATCATAAAACAATTAAAGAATCAGAAAAATATAAACTTTCTTTCAAGTGTTCCTCAGTGTCACCAGAAAATTAGTAAAATTATTGTTGTATAACTACAGGTGCAGTGCCTGTACGATGGTACAGTCTAGGACTTGGGTAGATTGTAAGCTTTCGTGGGGTCAGATGAGTAGTGATGATCAGCCTCCTTGTGTCCCTACAGGTGCTGCCGGCGGGAAAAGCCGTCCTGGTGACCGGTTGTGACAGCGGCTTCGGCCACGCCACCGCCCTCCATCTGGATAAGCTTGTGAGTATAATGTTGACCAGATGATAACATTGCAGACTAAATCTATTATACTTACACCCTGTAAAGGCCTGGGACTTAGGGACAGAAATCCCTTACTAGCCTAATCAGGATCTTATAAAATGAAAGTCAAGGACCATGGTTTTCTGAGTAATAACAAACAACAGTTTAAGATGACATCTCTTTACTATAAAAATATAACCCAAAACTCTGACACCACTCAACAAACATGAAATAATTACGGGAGTCAAACAATTAAAGCAGTCAACAGTTAATGGAGTCAAACAATTAATGGAATCAAACCATTAATGGAAGCAAACAATTAATGAAAGTCAACAACTGATGGAATCAAACAATTAATGGGAGTCAGCAATTAATGGAATTAAACAAGGAACAGATAAATCCTACAGCAGCGGCCCTGGGGTTAGGTCGATTCAGCTCTTCACTCCAGCGATAGCGGTCCGATGTCTTGATACATCAGACAAAACACCGGGGCACAGTTACGGTAGTGGTTTGGGGTAGGTGTCCAGAGATTGACAGTCGATAGGTGAAGGCCTGGAGACACAGCCCAGAGCCTTTGATGAGAACACCACCAGCATTTGGGAGAGCAGCAGGGAGGTGTGTTTGATTTGAAGTCTGGGTAATGTCTGAGCCGGTGTCACTGGTAACAGCGACGTTCTCACCTCCGTCCAACCCCCCCCCCCCCAAGTGGGGGTCGCGCCAGCAAACGAGCGAGTGAGCAGCGGTAACGAGCAGGAAAATCGTTTCCGCCCTTACACACCCGGATTCTCACAAGGTCTTTAGGGTTAATCTTTTTCCGTAACTGGAGAAGAGAAAACTTATCTATAGTGATAGTCAAAGAGGCATTGAAATGACACGAACACTTTATCGTGTCCTTAAAGAAAAAGTTTATTCCTTATTATAAGACAAAATAAGCCCCCTAGCTTATATCACCTGATGATTAAACTTTCAAATGATACCAAGGGAGCTTAGGTTAGGTTAGGTTTGGTTAACATTAGGGTGTTTAAACTTAAGGTCAAATAAACTGAGGGAGCTAATCTTCAGGTGATTCATACATTCATTAATTCATAATCTCTCTGCCCTTACCACTTAGCCTCCTCACCTTGCCATGTATATACAGACTAACTTATGATACTTCAGATGGGTTTGTCTTAACTCCACTGAGGTGCTGGTTATATCTTAGTCTTTTAAAACAACGAAAAACACTGAGGGTTGTGTTCCTGGTCTGGCTAACAAGACTTGATTGGTTTGCTTGTTTACCGGAGCTTGTACGACATCATCTGGCAACTGTACCTTAATTTGTCTTTTTTTTATGGCTTCAGGGTTTCAGGGTGTTTGCAGGGTGTCAGTTTGCTAAAGCCGGGGGTGAGGGAAGCCTCCGCCTCAAGAGGGAAGGGTCAGAGCGTCTCCATGTCCTCCAGATTGACCTGACGTCCAGCGAGGAGCTCACTCAGGCTTTTGAAGAAGTCAAGAGAATATTGCCTGAAGGAGGTGAGAGAGAGAGAGAGAGAGAGAGTTACGGTACCATAAGGTTGCAGGTTAAATGGACCCCAATCCTAACAGGCTCAAATCTTGCCTTTAGGATTAGGGCCCGTTAGGACTGGGGCCCATCTGACCAGTCACCAACAGGAATATATAATAAAAGTAGTCAAGAAGTGTTTCAAAACTACACTGGTGTTATTATTTTAGTCCTCAACAGAGGTGTTATTAGTCATCTTCTATAACAGAGATGTTCTGGGGTCTGGTGAACAACGCAGGCATCGCTCGGAAGGGCGCCGTGGAGTGGTCTCCCATGGAGTACTACAGACAGGCCGCGGAGGTCAACTACTTCGGTACAATCGCCATCACCAAGCTCTTCTTACCGCTCATCAGGCTGTCGAAAGGTGATTAACGAGGGGGCTGGTCCAGTAATGCTAATAAGTTGAACCAGTCAGCACCAACCTAATCTACCCTGACTCACTATTGGAACTCAGTCTTGGCAAAATTTCAACCTAACCTAACCTATTACAATTGGGACTTACTCATGATGGATCCGAGTTTTAATGGGTGGAGTCCTAATATGTTCCAGTGTTGGGTCTTAAGACTATTGATCCCTATGCTAATGGTTAGGTTAGGTTAGGTTGGGGTTCATACGACTTAACTGGTGAATTGTGGTACTTGAGATAAGCCTTGATTACGGGTCATTGTCGGTGGGTGTGTGTGATAAGAGAGTATGATCACCACAGTAACACACACACACACACACACACACACACACACACACACACACACACACACACACATATCACCATAACACTACTATATCACAATTGAACAACACTATACAACTCCTGTGTGCATACGTTATATAGTCAGTCAGTCATTCAGTCAGTCAGTCAGTCAGTGATTCAGTCAGTCATTCAGTGAGTGAGTGAGTCAGTCAGTCATTCAGTCAGTCATTCAGTGAGTGAGTGAGTCAGTCAGTCATTCAATGAGTGAGTGACTCAGTCAGTCAGTCAGAGAGTCAATGAGTCAGTGAGTCAGTCAGTGAGTCAGTCAGTTATTCAGTCAGTGAGTCAGTCAGTTAGTCAGTGAGTCAGTCAGTCAGTCGAGAGAGTTAGAAATTACATTCCAGTGTGGGCGAGGGAGGTTAAGTTAGGTTATGTTAGGTTTAGGCAAGGTTAGGTTAAGCTAGGTTAGGGCTAGGTTAGGTTAGCGGTAGGTTAGGTTTGGTTGGTTAGCGGGTTAGGTTAGGCAAGCTTAGGTTATGTTAGGCTAGATTAGGCTAGGTTAGGTTAAGCTAGGTTAGGTTAGGTTAAGCTAGGTTAGGTTAGGTCAGGTTAGGTTAGAGGTAGAAAGGATGTTCCTAAGGTGAAATGAATTAGGGTGCTAATATTCACGTGATCCATTTTTTTTCGCAGGTCGACTGGTGATCGTGACGAGTGTGATAGGACGGTGTGGAGTGCCCATCTGCTCCCCTTACGTGGGTACCAAGTTTGCTCTGGAGGGCTTCAGTGACTGTCTCAGGTTAGTGGCTTTATTACACACACACACGCACTCACTCACTCACGCACACACTCACACACTCACTCACTTTTCTCCCACAGGCTGGAGATGAAGCAGTTTGGTGTAAAGGTGTGTGTGGTGGAACCCGGCAGCCATGTTATAGGTAAGGTAATTCATATTTAATTAGTATTACAGGTGTGGGTACTACAGGTGTTAGGGTTACAGGTGTGGGTACTACAGGTGTACGTATTACAGGTGTGGGTACTACAGGGGTTAGTATTGCAGGTGTGGGTATTACAGGTGTTAGCATTACAGGTGTTAGGGTTACAGGTGTGGGTACTACAGGTGTAAGTATTACAGGTGTGGGTACTACAGGGGTTAGTATTGCAGGTGTGGGTATTACAGGTGTTAGCATTACAGGTGTTAGGGTTACAGGTGTGGGTATTACAGGTGTCAGTAATACAGATGTGGGTACTACAGGTGTTAGTATTACAGGTGTGAGTATTACATTATATTTGAATACTCTAGTTGTCTAGTGTCACTATTTACATTTCCCAGTAACATCATTTAATTAAGTAATCTTCAGTTTCACTAAACTTTACAGAACACAATTACTTCCGCATTTGATTTCTACTCAAGTACACAATGTCAACACAACGCCACTAATCCTCTTTAGAACCATGTATGCCTAACTCCCCGCCTCCCTCACACCATGCAGCTACAGATGTCTTGACGAAGGAGAAGATCCAGGGACTGAGAGACGGGTGCTGGGAGAAGATGAGTGATGAGATACGAGCAGCCTACGGGGAGACCAACTTCAGGCAGATGTACGCTGCCTTCGTCGACCACGGGGTGAGTACTGAGGTGGTCACAACCCCATAATATTAACTAATATAATATTGGGGCCAGATACAATTTTGCCCCATTAAGATTGGGCCTCAGTTTTAATGGTTTTATCTCTCTATATCTCTTCACACCCCTTTCTCTCCTAAATATGCCATCATACGGCCGTACAGGAGAGAGACCACGGTGGTGAACGCTATGACGGAGGTACGTTCCCCCGAGCCAGGTACTGCTCAGGTAGCCGAACCTATCAGCAGATGCTTTTCGTCGGCGAGCACCTGCCAGAGTGGGTGTACGACTACCTGTACTCCAGTACGTGATAGTGACAGGCTACTACTGGTGACTCCTCTACTACTGGTGACTCCTCTACTACTGGTGACTCCTCTACTACTGGTGACTCCTCTACTACTGGTGACTCCTCTACTACTGGTGACTCCTCTACTACTGGTGACTCCTCTACTACTGGTGACTCCTCTACTACTGGTGACTCTTCTACTACTGGTGACTCCTCTACTACTGGTGACTCCTCTACTACTGGTGACTCCTCTACTACTGGTGACTCCTCTACTACTGGTGACTCCTCTACTACTGGTGACTCCTCTACTACTGGTGACTCTTCTCTACTGGTGACTCCTCTACTACTGGTGACTCCTCTACTACTACTGGTGCTGGTGTCTACTACTACTACTGGTGACTCCTCTACTACTGGTGACTCCTCCTCTACTACTGGTGACTCTGCTGACTACTGGTGACTCCTCTACTACTGGTGACTCCTCTACTACTGGTGACTCCTCTACTACTGGTCTCTCTACTCTAGTGACTCCTCTCTACTACTGGTGACTCCTCTACTACTGGTGACTCCTCTCTACTGGTGACTCCTCTACTGACTCCTCTACTAGACTCCTCTACTACTGGTGACTCCTACTGGTGACTACCACTGGTGACTCCTCTACTACTGGTGACTCTACTACTGGTGACTCCTCTACTGGTGACTCCTCTACCACTGGTGACTCCTCTACTATAGCTCCTCTACTACTGGTGACTCCTCTACCACTGGTGACTCCTCTACCACTGGTGACTCCTCTACTGGTGACTCCTCTACTACTGGTGACTCCTCTACTACTGGTGACTCTCCTCTACTACTGGTGACTCCTCTACTACTGGTGACTCCTCTACTACTGGTGACTCCTCTACTACTGGTGACTCCTCTACTACTGGTGACTCCTCTACTACTGGTGACTCCTCTACTACTGGTGACTCCTCTACTACTGGTGACTCCTCTACCACTGGTGACTCCTCTACTACTGGTGACTTCCAAACCTTGGGCTCATTTGGTCTGGTGTCTGTATTAGGACTGAATCAATGTCATCTTCCTCTTCTTCATCCCCACTTTTATCCAATATTCACTAGACTCTCCTTCTCTCCCTCTCTTTTATATCAACGTCCCTAGATTCTCTATCTTATTCTCCTCTCTTTCACTTCCTGTGATTCCCATTCTTCTTACTCTTCCGCCTTTTTCCTCTTTCATTCTACATCATGAGATTATCCTTCCTTCTCCCCTGTTTCCTTTCTTCTACCCTTGATTCTCTTTCTCCTCCTCCCTCTCTTTCATCCTATACATCCATGGTTTTCCCTTCCTCTTCCTCTTCTTTCTCACTACATTCTTTGATCCTCCTCTTCCTCCCCCTCCCCCCCCTCTTCCTCGGGCATGGATTCTCTCCACATTGTAGCTCTTGCTAATTTGCATCTACAAAACTTTGCCTCAATGATAATTACGTCCCCAAATAAAAGTCTTTTAACTCCTATTGTCGTTTCACTTTCTATATCACCCTTTCATTATCATCTATCCACAGAAACGACAAAGCACTGTCTGTCTGTCTCTCTATCTGTCCGTTTGGTTATATACTTGTCTGTCTGTCTGTCTGTCTGTACTCTATTTCAGTGCTCGAGGACCAAGTGTGTTATGATTTTAGTCTTTGCTTGCTTCAACTGTCCCAGGGTTATGAAGCACCGATCTCTAGGTCTTAGCTTTAGGGGCTTCAACTGTCCCAGGGTTATGAAGCACCGATCTCTAGGTCTTAGCTTTAGGGGCTTCAACTGTCCCAGGGTTATGAAGCACCGATCTCTAGGTCTTAGCTTTAGGGGCTTCAACTGTCCCAGGGTTATGAAGCACCGATCTCTAGGTCTTAGCTTTAGGGTCTTCAACTGTCCCAGGGTTATGAAGCACCGATCTCTAGGTCTTAGCTTTAGGGGCTTCAACTGTCCCAGGGTTATGAAGCACCGTTCTATAGGTCTTAGCTTTCGGGGCTTCTATTGGCATTAGTTCCTAAAACATACAAGTTTTAAAAATCCAATATATATCATTATAATAAATAAGTTCTTACTCTAGTAATAATCCAAATTAAGTAGCACCGGTAAATGGGTAAAGTTGATCGAAGTCAACTTTGTATACAGTACTCTAATTGAGGATACAGAAAGGTGTCGAAGTTTCATTATATTCTTATTTTATTTAACATGTTACATAATCTAAGTGTTTTTTGTGTCATTAATCTTTCGTTATTTCATTCATCAATTTTATCATTTCATACTCGCTGTTTCACTTACTGTTACTCATGGTTTATGATATTCTTTAAATCACTCTTATGTAAATAGTCAAATAAGAGTTTGTCATCACGAATAAAAAAAAGAGTAAGATAGAAAACAGACTTTATGAATAATCAGGAAAGCTAAAGGTGTATTTCTTTTATTTTCGTAAACTATAGAAAAGAAGCAATATCTCTAATTATTTATAAAATCATATGTACACGTAAACAATCTTACCTATTGTACTGCAAACGTTTCCTTCTACTCGTCGTGTTTCATCATCAAAGCCAAAGATAGAATAAAATATGTCGGCAAATATAATGAAAATACTGATAAGACACAAACAGAAATAAAAAGATAACATAAACAAAGAAAACGAAGACCGCCAGGATAGTATAAGAGAGAATTGCATATCCTAAACCCCTAACTACTTTAAACAAGAAAGTGGTAGTTAACGGATTAAAACATAAAGAATGACTGGTAGATGACAAAAATGGGAACTACAAACATGAATAAGGTTTTTTTAAATAAATGATGGTGATTTAAAAAAAAAATGATCTTTATATCTGGTTGCATAAAGTGGACAGGGTTTTGAAGACAAGGGAAATTGTGGGGTAAAAACACAAACACATGCACACAATATTAAAAAACAACAATAATATGTCCATTAAATGGCACAAGTGTTTATTTGTCCGGTCATGGACCTTTGCCTACTGTACGTATATCTGTCTACCTATGCCCAGAGTTTGATATACAGTATAACCATTTAAAATGTACAGTAGGTACTCTTTGTTGAAACCGCTACTGCACTGTACTGTATATCTGCTTTACTAAATCTCACTTCACCTTTGGTTACCTTAGTAACGATTTATACCATGTTATATTATATCCACTTTCAGTCTCTGACTAGAAAACATTATACTCTAATATATGTTTTACCAGAATTTTTATTTTTCTTTACGGGGAATAGCCCACCCGGGCATCGGTCATCGACCCACAACGGGGCCTAGGGGGCGAAAAATAAGAGTAGAAAGAAATAAAAAAGAAAAAGAAATAAATATATTAATCTACACAACGAAGATGCCGGAAAACCAACTTTTTGAAGTGAGACAGATTGTATGAGTATGGAAACACAGAAGAAGGCAGAGCATTCCACAGTTTGGCTGTGTGAGGAAAGAAAGATGTACTATAACGGGTTATTTTAGTGTGACCGACATCCACACAGAAACGGTGGGCAACGCAGGCAAGACGTGTGTTACGAGCCCACGGCCTTGCCGGCGGTACACAGGATGCCAAATACACCGAACATTGCCCGTTAATGTATCTGTAAAAGACAGAGAACGAAGCAACATGGCGGCGAAGAGAAAGGGAAGAAAGATTATCAACTAAAGAAGGAGAGTTAATAAGACGAAATGCCTTTGATTCCACTCTATCTCACAGTTGTACAGAAGAAGACCCCCCCTCCAGATATGAGAGCAGTACTCCAAGTTCGGACGAATGAATCCCTTATAAACTTGAAGCAACTGCTCAGGAGTGAAATAGCTACGGCATCTGTTCAGCATTCCCAGCTTTCGGGAGGCACCTTTAGCAATGTTGTGGATGTGTGGCTTCCTTGACATATTCGAGGAAATGGTGAGACCTAGCATATAATATCTAGAACTTGGCAGAATGATTGCGTCCTAAAGTGTGATTGGTGGGAGAATAACTCGTGCCATATTAATTTTATGCTGACAAGTAAATGCAAATTAAGAACAGATCTGCATATCAGTTTTTAAATAACATTCATACATTAAGATTAACGTATGGATATGTCCAACGTGAAATAGGTTTAGTGAACAATGAAATTTACTTTACAATTCTGTGATTTTTGGTGATCCATCTTGATTTTTACTTTGGGATGATTCTCCTTGTGCCAACGGCCCCTGGTTACCAGTCGGTACTTCATACATATCGAGGGAGTTATTAGTACCGGGGACTTGGATAATTGAGGCACTAGAAGCAACAGGAGCTACGCTGTTATCGGTAACAGTACCAGGGACACCAGGAGCTTGTTCCATCGCCGCCTCCCTCGCGAAAGATAAGAAGACCTGCTCCAAGGAGGTGTCTGAGGCGGCGTACACCTCCACGATGGAGGTGGAAGGGGAGGCAAGAGGCAGGTCTTCTCTCAGAGGCGTGGCAGCTCCAGGGTCTCGACCAGCTTTCAGAGCCTCCATCACCGAGAACAGCTGACCCCAGGACACGCTGATGGGCACCCGGTAGGCCAGCATACCCTGTTGTTGTGGTGCAGGACATAAACGTTGAGTCAGAGATCATATTTACATTGGCATTACAAGCCGTTCCTTAGGGAACATAACTGGAAAAAATTAGCAAATGTAATCTTTAATATATTGATGATCATTTGGTTCTGGGATGTCATGTTGCAAACTATTAATTGAGCTGTACTTCACACACACACACACACAGACACACACACACACACACACAGACACACACACACACACACACAGACACACACACACACACAGACACACACACACACACACACACACACACACAGACACACACACACACACAGACACACACACACACACAGACACACACACACACACAGACACACACACACACACACACACAGACACACACACACACACAGACACACACACAGACACACACACACAGACACACACACACACACACAGACACACACACACACACAGACACACACACACACACACACACACACACACACACACACACACACACACTCTTGTACTGTGGGTTGTGTACCTTGTGTTGATCGGTGAGAGTAGAGCCAGGGAGGAAGTAATTAATGACGATCTTCAGCTCATTCACTTTCGTGACATAAATTTGTTCGTCTTCTGACTTGTTGCCCTGAGTGAAACCGTGAGTCCTGAGCTTCACCTGGAGGCTGTAGCCCTGCCCGAACTTTGCTTTAAGGTGGCCGGTGGTGCCCACACAGCGAAGCCTGCCACGAGACATGATGATGATACGGGAGCAGAGCGCCTCACACTCCTCCATAGAGTGGCTAGTAAGCACCACACTCTGCCCGTTGTTTATGGCTTGTCTGATGGCTGTCCACACCCTACGACGAGACACAGGATCTACTCCTGAGGTGGGCTCGTCCAGGAACACCAGGGGCGGGTTCCCCACTAGAGCCAAGGCTGTGGACAGCTTCCTGCGGTTACCTCCTGAGTACGTAGAGGAGGGCCGTTTAGCGCACTCTGTCAGTCCCACAAGTGACACCAGGGAGTTGACATTTTCTCTCAGCTGTGCCTCACTCATGCCACGCAGACGACCCATCAGATGCAGCATCTCTACCCCGGTGAGGTCATCCAGGAAGGCATCAAACTGAGGGCAGTACCCGATGTTCTGCACAAACTGTTCACAAAGACAAACATGTCAAAGATTCAAAGAAAACCAAAAGAAAATGTTGCAGGTAACGTCGTACAGTCACCCAAAAAAGTTCTGTCGCGAACCATGAACCCCGAGATTCAGACTCTTGAATCCGAAGCATTTATGGACAGAATAATGTATCGGTGTCTACTGCTTCGGGTTCACGAGTCTGAATCTCGGGGTTCGTGGTTCGCAACAGGACTTTTTGGGGTGACTGTACATAGTCCTCTTTATATCAGCCAACATTAACTGTGCTACAATAGTTAACATATAAAAATACAATATAACCTCTGTTGACATGATCTTCCTCTGCATTATGAAGTCGAATTCGAGTAGAAGAAAGTTAGTGCCAGGTGCAGTCTTAGCGTTGTGGTTAACTACCAGCGTATTGTAGCCGAGGCTTTGGCTGCATAAATGTGTACTTTACTGTGGTAATAAGAATGGTCACCTCACCTCACATCACACACTCAGTACACACAAAGTGTCCCCACCAGTCACATATTCTCTCTACATTTGTTTATGTTCCAGATTTAAAACGTTTTTTATTTATTTTTTTTTTTTTCATTAGCGTTAAGGACTGAGCTGAGTGCGTTCTTTATTCAGTTATGAGGATTAATCATCACATGAACATTTGTGAATCTGAATTCCGAACCCAGAAACAACGTACCGCCGCCATCTTAGCCAAGCCCCGAACCTAGTAACCTTTGTTGTGTGCCGAGGAGTTTACCAGCCCCAGCGTTTATATTGTCTTTTAAGCTGGTTCTAAGAGTGTTCACAACTTCCGTGTATAAAAAATAGTGCAGTGAAGTGTCAGTGTTAGTCTAAGTCGAGTAATTTTGACCATAGACAATGTATTTAGTGTTAACAGAACCACATATCTCCAGGAAGGTCCGGTCGCGGCAGGCGCACATATGTCACTATTGTACTGATATGCCGAACCACTGAGTGATCAGAGACGAAGCGGTGAGAGTGGATTGTTATGTAGGAGGTCTACAGGTCGCTGGGTGACTGGCTAACAAGTGATACAACCCGTGAATGATTGTGGCCAACACGTTCCAAAAACAGGCATGGTGCCACAATTGAACCCCTGATATAACTCCTTAATCTATTGATATGAGGCTTCAGTGTTGGCCCAGGCTGGACCAACACCTCATGTATCTACAAGAGAGCGAAAGGACTTGAATACTTGACCTTGTTATGGCACTGACCTTGTTTCTCTCGTGGCTGAGGGACAAGCCGTCTATCGTAGCGTCTCCTGCTGTCGGCACCTCATCTCCCGTCAGCATCTTGAAGGTGGTGGTCTTGCCTGCGCCGTTCACCCCCAACAGGCCTAGACACTCCCCGCGGTTCACCCTGAAACTGATGTTGTCCACGGCGCGCACAAGGCAACCGTAGTACTGCTTGGACAGCATGGAGGCGAGGAGTGTGGCATCCACCGACCCATCTGAAAGTACGTAATCTCACTCATTCACTATCACCTAATTTTTACGCCCAGGATTTGAACCTTAGCACCCTATATACATACCAGCTCTAGGGGTTGTAATGGTGAATACATATTTATTTAAATCAAGTGTGGCTATTGTATCTCGTGCCGTTCTTGAGTTATGCTGTGGACATATACTTAAGGAACAGCTCAAAGGTCTCTGTTCAAGAGAGGAAGCTGCATAAATCTGAGTACTCTGCGCTACCCAGCCTTCCTCTGTCCCCCATCAGCCATATTGGGGCCTCCAGTTAGTTATTAGTATGAGTTCGCTGTCTCGCCAGTCGACGGAAGACATCGGCGGTCTGGCTTTTTAGTTTACTGTACACACCCGGAACTACAGGGTAAATACACAGATTCTATAAATTTTAGCAACAGGAGAATTATTACACAGGGTTACAGTTAGATACAGGCGACGCTAATAGATCTTGCAGTGACGGAGTAATGGGGAAGATATAGAACAAAATTAATGTTTGTTTTCTCTCGTCTCACGACGTAGAAAATAATGTAGACGGACAGACGCTCACCTGTATTAATTATTAAAGGTAACTGTATCCTCCCTGCCACTTACTAATCATTGGGAGGGTGTTGGCGGTTGGCTGTGACCCAGTCATGAGGGAGGTCACCAGGTCAGCCTCAGCAACTACGTCCTCGTCTACCTCCCGGACTTGGCCTTGTGGCTTCACCTGCTGGAACTTGCGATCTTGATACGAGATTCTGCGCCACAGTCGTCTAGGGAGGGAAGGAGGTGGGGGGGGGGGGTTAGTTACTCTTAACACACCTTACAATGTTTCGTTTGATTTATATAATTCCTTTCATTATTATATCTGATTTTTATATTTTATTAACTCACACGCTTATAGTACACACACACACACACACACACACACACCCTTACATGAAGAATATTGGTGCCCCTGCTTCTATAAAAACGATAATGCCAAAGAAGATAATCCCATTGACGAAGAGTGAGAGCAGGTCTGAGCCCATTCCGGGTTGCTGGAGTCTATAATACGACCACTCCTCCAGGCACACCCCCGTCCCCACTTTACTACAGAGTGGTGGATCGCCGTAACCTGTCAAAAAAAGAGAAGGACAATCATAAAGAACCACTGAGATTACTTTTAGATGAACCTGCAGTACTCGGAAGGTTCAACTATGTAAATATTATTGTTGTTATTCACTCAGTTTGTATCTGTGTTATTGTGGATAAATACACTCTTTCAATTTCAATTCATGGGGTTGAGGCAATGAGGGTTGGTTGTGGTGTGGGTGGTGGTGTGGTGGTGGTGATGGGTGGTGGTGGTGTGGTGGTGGTGTGGTGGTGGTGTGGTGGTGTGGTGGTGATGTGGTGTGGTGGTGGTGTGGGTGGTGGGTGGTGGTGGTGATGGGTGGTGGTGTGGTGGTGGTGATGGGTGGTGGTGTGGTGGTGGTGTGGGTGGTGGTGTGGTGGTGTGGTGGTGGTGATGGGTAGTGGTGTGGGTGGTGGTGTGGTGGTGGTGATGGGTGTTTCAGGATTGATCTGGGTTCACTTATGTATAAAACGTTTTATCCTACTTTAATTCCTTTAAGGTCAATAAAGTCGCCACGTTCAACCCTAAAACCCCTTTATTCAATCCAAAAATAACTTCAACGTCAATTGAATCCCTTTTATCCGACTCTAAAACCCCCTAGGTCTATAGAATCCCATTAAGGTCAGTAGAATCCTCTTTATCCAACCCTAAAACCCCCTTATGGAAAATACAACCCCCTTTATCGAACCATTGAGTTATTATACTAGAAATTTTATTATATAAAACAATAAGTTATCTAAAGTTCTTAATAACCTGGAAATACTGTGTTAAAGGCGCTGTTATCTAAGGGCTAAAAAAGCGTAGTTATCATACTAGAAAAATGAATCATCTGTAAAGTTCTAAAGTTGAACCCTTAATTTAAACCCTCAGACATCTGTTAATCTTCTAAGTTGAACCATCATGTTGAATCTCTTAACATCTGTTGGGAGGGATTGGTGAAGTCAGCGAAAACGAGTGTTGGAGTTGTTGTAGTGAGTGAGAACGGTGTTAGTGGACTGGTAGAACATAATGTAAGGGAAGTCAAAGAAAACGAATGTTGGAGGAATCATAGAAAACGAGTAATGGAAGGGGTAATTATAGAAAACGACAAGAGATGGAATACTGACGACAACATTGCATGAAATCGTTGTCTTGAGCGAACGCGTAGAGCGCCTTACACAGTTCCTGGGTAACCGTCTCGTTGAACTGGTTGCACTTGCTGTTGTGGACCCCCACTTGGACTATGTGACCAAAGCCCTGTGGAGGAACGATGGGTAGTGTGATACTTGATATATTTACATCCTATCTCTCTCACTTCCTCTTCCTCTCACTCTTTATATGTCTTCTACCATATGAGAGAGAGAGAGAGAGAGAGCAGGCAACTCAATAGAAAGGAGTCAATTAAAATGGAAAAATAAAAATATTCGAAATTATCTCCCAATTTAGTGTGTGTGTGTGTGTGGAGACTCACCGTGGCCACAGGGTAGGCAGGGATGACGGAGGTGGCCCAGTAGAGGATGTCACTGACGGTGGTGAGAGTCGGCTGCTCCGCCATCCTCAGGCCCCACACCACCACTGTCATCAGCTGGCCTATGTAAACAAACCACAATAGTAATATCTCACGAGAGGATTAATAGTCATTTATTTTGTTTGATAAATGTCATATTTACTACATTGGTTTCTTGCCAAATGTCGTTCAGCTGAAATTGTCCATAATGGTCGAAAACATTGATATAAGAAAGAGAGAGAGAGAGAGAGAGAGAGAGAGAGAGAGAGAGAGAGAGATTTCATTAGTTACCAGCGACAATATTTACGAGGGCCAGGACAGCGAAGCCCGAGGCAGCAGTTTGGAAGGGGAAGCTGAAGACGTAGGCCATAGGGATGCTGCCCCACCCGTACAGCAGTAAGAGGAGGAACAACGCTCCTGGAGGACGAACAATCATTAAAATAATCTTACATAAGACTCCTGGACAATTTGTTGTATGTTTCATATCCTTTATTCATCTAGGAAGCGAGACCAAGTGATTAGAAATACGACAGATTTATTGACTGTAATTTTGTTCGGATGATGTCGTCTACAGCAGAATAAATATAACTAAAATTAACATTACCTGGAGCTTCGCCTTTGGTGAAGTAGCCGTTTGGGTCCATCGTCATGAAACAGATGTAGATAAGAAGTAAAGATATCATGTAGGTGGTAAAGTCCCAGAGGAAAGTGGTGGCCCAGAGTGCCCACACGGGAGCCCCAGTCATCACCTGTACCTGCGGCCGTAGAAAATAATGCTCTCAGGGAAGTATTTATGTGAAAACGTCTGATGGAAGAGCAAATAACCCTTCACCCCTTCTTTCCCGTTTTTTCTCTTGACTTTTCTCTTTCTCGGTTTTTCTTACCTATCAGAAGTACACGAGGGGAAGGAACAAGAGTAGAAGTCAAAAGGTAAACACGTTCATCGTTGGTGCTTACTGATGAGCCTAACGTGATGGTGAGCAGACTAATGACCTCTCGTGGTTGCATTAGTTTGGCCTTGATTTTGAGTGGGCGCGATTATACTTTACCTTGGTGTCGAGGGTTCTAATTGGTTAAAATATACACATGTAGTTAGTATTGACGGGGTGGATGTACCTTACTTGGCTTTGATTTGTCTGATGAACCTACCTGTTTGGTGTTAGTCTCTCTCTCCTGCAGGGGGAAGACGAGGAAAGAGGCTGAGAGGAAGGCCAGGGCGAGGGGCATCATATTGGCGTACACAAGACTACTGGTCGAAAACTCACTCGAGAATAACCACTGAAAAAAAAAAAAAATCATTTGTGATGTTTACAATACTCAGTTTTTGTTTACTTAACTGTCGCGCCGTTAGAGAGAAGATATACAATGTTTACCATCTGTTTACTATCTGAGGTTCGTCAGCGTTGAGAATTAGTTGAAGACACAGTAAGTATATCTTCTGTTGGGTACGTTCTGTTGGCTACGTTCTGCTAGCTACGTTCTGTTAGTTACATTCTATTAGCTACGTTTTGTTAGTTACGTTCTGTTAGCTACGTTCTGTTATCTACGTTCTGTTAGTTACATCCTGTTAGTTACATTCCATTGGGTACATTCTGTTAGTTACATTCCGTTGGGTACATTCTGTTGGGTACATTCTGTTGCAAGACGTAGTGAAAATGAGATAGTACATTGAATCATCACCTTCTTCACGGGTATCATACGAAAGAGAGGAGAAGCTTTCAGATGGTACTCACTGTAGTATCTGGTGGGAGGGGCCAGTTGGTGGTGGTGATGGTGTGGATGGTGGAGTTGGTGGCGAGGCGGAGGAGAGCGTTGGTGACGAGGGAGGTACCGATCCCCAGAGTGTGGAAAGGGATGGTCTGAGTGAGGATCCTTAACGTGTTGGCTTCCTCTTCACTTAGGAACTCTGCCTGTTAGGAGGTGGTGGGTCTGATTACTATATAGATCAAAGTGTAGCCCAGATTAATCTTTTCTTTCTTTTCTTTCTTTCTTTCTTTCTTTCTTTCTTTCTTTCTTTCTTTCTTTCTTTCTTTCTTTCAAACTTAACCTAACACATAACTTAATCTAACCTAATTTAACCATGTCTAACCCAACTAAACCTAACCCAAATTATACCTAACTAAACCTAACCTAACCCTAGACTAATTTAACATAAGGTAATCCTAATCGAATTTCATCTAAATTATCTTCATCTGACTCACCTCTAACCTAACCTAACCTAAATTAACATCCACTCGATAAACCTACTAGCTCGATAAACCCATTAGCTAGAAGACATCAACCTACTAGCTCGATAAACCCATTAGCTAGAAGACATCAACCTACTAGCTCGATAAACCCATTAGCTAGAAGACATCAACCTACTAGCTCGATAAACCCATTAGCTAGAAGACATCAACCTACTAGCTCGATAAACCCATTAGCTAGAAGACATCAACCTACTAGCTCGATAAACCCATTAGCTGGAAGACATTAACCAACTAGCTGCGTCAACCTTTTCAGCCGTACTTACAGAGCAAATGTTATTCTCCCTATAATGTAGAAGGTTGTCGTGTGCTGCTTTCAGTAAACTTCCAGTCATGTTGTCAGTCGAGCTCACCTGTGGAAATGAGAAGGTTCACTTGTGGTAATGAGAAAGCTCACCTGTGGTAATTAGTAGGTTCACATGTGGTAATGAGTAGGTTCACCTGAAGATAACACTTCATAAACTACACACCAAGAAGGTATCACTCAGAACATACCTCATGGCTCCCTGAGAAAAGAGACCGATACTGGAAGCTCAAACTTTCGAGGTCTGGGTCAACCTTCATGAAGGAGGAGGAGTAAGGGAAGAGAGAGGTGTTGAGGACCAGCTGAGGTTCCTGGGAGATGAGGAAGTCGAAAGTCTGGTCCACCAAGAGGCACGCGACGGTCACCACCACCGGCACCAGACCCTGCACAACGAAGCCAATAAGGGACGCTGATTCAAGATGAACCTTCCTGCCTTAATGGGCCACAGTCCTTAATGGGATCAACCCTGATGAGCAATGTCCCTCATAAGCTCCAATCCTAATAGGCCCTAGGTTAGGTTAGGTTGGGGTGGACCAAGAAGGTTTAGGACCCATTAGTATTAGGGTCTAGAAGGACTGGGGCCTATTAACACTGGGGTCTGTTGAACGTATAATCCATGATAATCCCAGGGTTTGGATTATCAAATTTTTGCCTCTTGAAAATTTCCACAAACTATCGCTGTTTTGTTGTCTAAACGCTTCGTTTAAGTTACACAAACATGGGGAAAACAATAAGAATTAGAGATTACACAAATATTGTACCGAAACTATGGAGTTAAACCTTAATTAACGAAGCAACGTAATAAATTGATAATCAGAACTACCGAGTAATCAGACTGTTTAAGCGATAATCAGAATACCTGTGCGATAATCATAGTGCCTGAGTGATACTGAGAACATCTGTGTAATAATCAGAGTATCTGTGTGATAATCAGAGCACCGATGTAATAATCACAGTACCTGAGTGATAATCAGAGGCCACTTCCGTTTGGAGTAGATGATTCGCTTGATGAAGAACGCCTTTATCCTCTGCATCAAGAGCCTGTTACCAGTCATCCGCTCTAGTCCATCTGTCGGAAATAAAACTGAATTGTGTCACTGAGTCCATGGGTTCCATATACGATATTTATGAAGAACAGTTGTAGTTTTAAATGTTCATAATTTTTCAGGCACATATGACAGAAACACACTCTGTAAATGGTATATAAAAGGCATTTACAATAATTTTTTACCCAAATTATTCTCAATATTGTAATTTTTTCACAAAACTGTTACATGTACATACGAGTTCACGCACAAAGGATAGAGAAGCAGTAAGCTCAACATGGCAGGATAACACCGTAGAGTTTGTGTTATTTCTGAGAATGACTTTACTGTAGTGTACAGTATCATTTCAAGATACAATGACATTTTTTTATTTAAATCTCAATTAAACGAGAGAGAGAGAGAGAGAGAGAGAGAGAGAGAGAGAGAGAGAGAGAGAGAGAGAGAGAGAGAGAGAGAGAGACTGTTAATTAATGCTGTGATCAGGGACTCACTGTTGCCTTTGCTGAAGAGTTGTTGCTGGCTGCTGCTGCTGCTGTTGCCTAACCCATCTTCTAGTATGGCATCTAAGTTCATATTCTGATTCCCGTTTTCTTGACATGTTTCTGACGTCTTGGGATCTTGTGCTTCGGTTTTCTCTATTAGTTCACTCACTCTAGTGTAAGTTAATATAATTGTTAAAATTATTCGGTATTATTTCACTAAATAATAACCTAACCTAACCTAACAAACTTAATCTAACATTCTTAGGAGCGTTTGGGTGTTTAAGTCTCCCGTGAAATAAGTTAGAATGCTTCAGGTGATCTAATCATTCAACAGACAAATGGGATACACCAGTACAAGTTGGACCCCGCTGATCTGGGACCCAATAGTTCAGCAGCTTCGATGGTTCGGGACGGTGTCATAGCTCACTTCTAGTGGCTGTTGCCTCTATTTTATCTTTAAATACTTATAATTTACCCCTAAATATTCTTCCTAAGAAACCAGTAAGCAGTGGAAGCTGTTGTAATGCAGCAAAACGCAAGCATTTGACATTAGCTATTTTGGAAAAAAATTCTATACTGAAGAAATTAGAGTCATAGTATATTTTATGCATTATTTTGCCTTTTTAACCTCGGCTTCGATAGTACGAAATTTTCGCTAATCCGGAACCGGACTGGTCCCAAGCTTCCTGGATTAGCGAGGTAAAACCTGGACTGTATACACGAAAGTAGTGTACTGTATTGTACTGTACTGTACTCTTACCAAATTCACAGACTTTTAGAACAGCACATTATATGTCACTACTTGATCTTGTTCTATATATATATATATATATATATATAAAATGCAGGATTAAAAGTAGTAGGGTATATAAAATAGACATGATAACTAAAATAAATATTTATTTATACTGAAGTATATACAAAAATATATAAATAAATAAAAGTCGATATAAATCGTTGCAGGTGTCGAATATTAGGTTAGGTCCTGTTACATGAAAACCTGCCGTTTGGATTTTTTTTTTTGCTGTAAATTTCAAGATTTGTATATCTTTATTTACGGAAGATTTTTCCTTCTTTTCCTCGAATCCTTGTGAGGTAGAACTCAGCTGGTTGTCTACTTTCCTTCGTCAATGGAGGATGACAAGTCCTCCAGAGATGTGACCAACTTGTCTATTATAACCTTAATTGATGGCCGCTATATCTGATCCTCGTCCAGCATTTCCAAGCATAGCGTCTTTACATCTTTCGGCCAGTCTATTATGAAGTGATCTTCTTTTGATTGTTTGAAAATATTAAGAATGGTGTATGCTAAGGAATAGATGTCACCCTCTGGAGTACAGGGCTTGCCATTTAGGACTTCTGGAGCGTAGTGAGGGAACGCCGTGTGGTCCTTACTCACAAAGTTTATGCAGAGTCCAATCTATCTTGCTTGACCAAAATCGATAAGGTGGGCTTTAATGAATCCGTCATCCAACATTTCGATCAGAACATTATCTTATTTAAAGTCGTTGTGGACCACTCCTCTGTCGTGGACCTCTCCCAGACTGGTGGCTATTGCTATGAAAATTTTTAACCAGGTAGTGACTGTGTACTGTTTGTTATCAAGCAGCGTGTCTAAAGTTTTTCCCTTACAAAAAGACATAATTATGGCTGGGAAATCTGCGCAAGATGCTATCACGACTGGAGCTCCACCAGCGCCATCGACACGCTTCATGAGACAAGTTTCTTTAATAAAAGCCCGTCTCAGGGACGACTTAGTACCGAGCTTAAGACAAACCGAGTGGTTGGTGAGGTCAGCGAGGAATGCTGTGCCAAAATTTCCAGAAGAAAGTACTTTCTTTATCTGTAAACCACCCAAAAACTTGTCGAGGGGAAGATCGTCTTCGACACAGGAATTTGACTTGGACGATGCTGAGGGCAGGTTATTTTTTATTATATCCTTTATTTCGCTGCAGGATATGTTTCCTGGACCCCTGTCTTTGAAGTCTTTCCACAGATTAACTTTCGAGTTGTGGCAAGTCATTTTCTCATATTATTTTGTCAAGTCTTGGCCGGTACCTTCACAACTTTCATTCATAAGGCTGAGAAAAATGTAGTCGTCTTACCTAATGCTGTAATAGTGACTACTCACAACTCTGATAGTAATGATATATTTTATAATTTTAGTAGTGATGTTGTACTGGTCGTTGTTTACTTGTTGTAGTGATGGTTATATAAGTGTGGTAGTGATGTTGTAGTGGTGGTTATATAAGTGTGGTAGTGATGTTGTAGCGGTGGTTGTATAAGTGTGGTAGTGATGTTGTACCGGTGGTTATATAAGTGTGGTTGTGATGTTGTACCGGTGTTTATATAAGTGTGGTAGTGATGTTGTAGTGGTGGTTAAATAAGTGTGGTAGTGATGTTGTAGTGGTGGTTATATAAGTGTGGTAGTGATATTGTAGTGGTGGTTATATAAGTGTGGTAGTGATGTTGTACCGGTGGTTATATAAGTGTGGTAGCGACGTTGTAATGGTGGTTATGTAAGTGTGGTAATGATGTTGTAGTGGTGGTTATATAAGTGTGGTAGTGATGTTGCAGTAATAGTTTTATAATTGTGGTAGTGATGTTGTAGCGGTGGTTATATAAGTGTGGTAGTGATGTTGTAGTGGTGGTTATATAAGTGTGGTAGTGATGTTGTAGTGGTGGTTATATAAGTGTGGTAGTGATGTTGGTGTGGTGGTTATATAAGTGTGGTAGTGATGTTGTAGCCGTGGTTATATAAGTGTGGTAGTGATGTTGGTGTGGTGGTTATATAATTGTGGTAGTGATGCTGTAGTGGTGGTTATTTAAGTGTGGTAGTGATGTTGGTGTGGTGGTTATATAAGTGTGGTTGTGATGTTGTAACTGTGGTTATATAAGTGTGGTAGTGATGTTGTAGTGGTGGTTATATAATTGTGGTAGTGATGTTGCAGTAATAGTTTTATAATTGTGGTAGTGATGTTGTAACAGTGGTTATATAAGTGTGGTAGTGGTGGTTATATAATTATGGTAGTGATGTTGCAGTAGTAGTTTTATAATTGTGGTAGTGATGTTGTAATAGTGGTTATATAAGTGTGGTAGTGATGTTGTAGCGTTGGTTATATAAGTGTGGGAGTGATGTAGTAGTGGTGGTTATACAAGTGTGGTAGTGATGTTATGGTTGTGGTTGTATAATTGTGGTAGTGATGTTGTGGTTGTGGTGGTTGTGTAATTGTAGTAGTGTTGTTGCAGTGGTGGTTAAATAATTATAGCACTGATGTTGTAGTGGTGGTTGTATAATTATGGTAGTGATGTTGTTGTGGTGGTTGTATAGTTATGGTAATGATGTTGTAGTAATAGTGATTCCATAGGAGTGGAGAGATGTGATAAATATAATTGTACTAATGTTTTAATGGGTGAGATCGTCTATTAAGAGATATGACTTAGTACCATGAGTACGATGACTTAATACGTTGAGTACAATGATATAACCCCCTGAGTATGATAACATAACCCCTTGAGTACAATGACATATATTATCGTACTCAAGGGGTTATGCCAAAGTAATCAAAGGGGTTATGATCACAATAAAATAAAGAAAATACGTCACACTAGATGGTGGGCGTGGTAGGGGGCACCTGGCTGTGTTTGACTTAGCCTGAGGAGGAGCATGAATGAGTTAACCCAGTTTGGAGACTCATTGAACCGACAGACAGACAGATACCTTATGAAGACTCGCTCCATAGTAGTGAGGGAAAGGCCGAAATGTCTCACACCCAACTCCTCTTTCCTGGTGGTGAGGGACTCCAATAAGGGCGCGAACTTGGAGGTGGTGGGCGGGAGTTTGAAAGTGACTTCCCCGTTGTGGCAGGTGTGGAGGGAGGCGGAGGGCATATGGTTCACCACCTCCGCCTTCAGGGTATCCAGGTTCGAATCCTCTTTTACCATCATATCCAGTGTGTATCCGTCACCTGAGGGAAGAGAGCGCGGTAACTAACGACACTCGCTGGGAAGCCAAAACTCAGCCACCATGATGCATAACGTCAAGGTAAAAGGCATAACTCTGTGCTACACCATGATTGATAGATTGCATGAAGATTAGGCACTCCACTTAATTTACCTGACGATTTAACATCCTAACACGAATCTAATGCTCACCTAACACGAGCCTAACCTAACCTAACCTTACCAAACTTGTTCTTGAGGAAGAGTGTAGAGCCGGCACACACCACCTTGCCGGAGGCCATAATGGCTACTCGGTCGCCCAGGACGTCGGCCTCCTCCATGTGGTGTGTGGTGACGAGGACGGTGCGGCGCCCTCGCTCTCCCTGCACCACGTCCCACACCCACCGGCGAGACTCAGGGTCCAGCCCACTGCTCGGCTCGTCTAGGATCACCACCTGCAGGAGGAACAAGGATCACCACCTGCAGGAGGAACAAAGATCACCACCTGCAGGAGGAACAAAGATCACCACCTGCAGGAGGAACAAAGATCACCACCTGCAGGAGGAACAAAGATTACCACCTGCAGGAGGAACAAAGATCATCACCTGCAGGAAGATATGTGATGATAACCTATGTTGAGAACTGAATTTTTTTTTATGGAAATTAGACTTATTATGTTACTGTATATCATTAATCAGGAACTCTCTCTCTCTCTCTCTCTTTCTCAACAAATATTTTATACCTTTCTCTCTCTTAGTCGACTAATTCGGCCACATAAAACTTTCTACATTTACTATTTCTGAATTTCCTTGTGTAATATAAGGATTTTTCTGCTGCAACATTTTTTGGAGGGGGGGGAGGGAGGTCGGGGCTGGGTGGGAAAAAATCAATGGATAATTCATAATCGGTATGGTATTTTGAGTAAATCCTCGACGTGTGTGTGTGTGTGTGTGTGTGTGTGTGAACCAGTTGGATCTTGAAGACGGGTGTTAATATTTCACACAGTTCGAGCAGGACCTTAGAGTACTGTACTGTACCTTGGAGCCACCTATGAGAGAAATGGCGAGACAGAGCTTCCTTTTCATTCCTCCTGAGAGCTGGTTACCAAACATATCTTGTTTATCCAGCAGGTCCAGTTGTTTTAAGATCCCTTGGCCTTCTTTCTTTGCTGCCCCTGTTCTCATACCTTTCAACTATTTTTATTTTGTTTGTGAAGAATAAAACAAAGTTATTAATTTCAAATAAAATAGTTTAGCATGCTATGTTGATATGAAGGTTATGTTGATATGAATGCTATGTTGATATGAATGTTATGTTGATATGAATGTTATGTTGATATGAATGTTATGTTGATATGAATGTTATGTTGATATGAATGTTATGTTGATATGAATGTTATGTTGATATGAATGTTATGTTGATATGAATGTTATGTTAAAGACAATATTCTTGGTAATAATAACTATCATTCCTCTTATATTTCTGTAGACTGATAATCTTATGCAAAGTTCATAAAGACAAACTAAATGCAGCCATAGTGTTCACGTGTTCGTATTAGTCAATATTGCCTGCGTCCAGTCTTAGATAATGAGGTGGGAGGAATAACATGTCGAAGGGTATAGTAAATTGTATCAGAAGTCGATTGTAATATATGGTCCGTTTGATACTCACCCTGCCGAAGAAGAGAAGATGCTGCATGACGGTGAGGTCGACGAAGAGCATGTTGTGTTGAGGACAGAGACCCACCTCCTCCCGCGCCTCCTTCAGGTTGGTGGCAATGTTCCACCCTCCTACTTCAGCATATCCACCGCTTGGGGCGTACACACCTACAGGAGTAGATCCCTTGCTGTCACTTGGAAACACTTATACTCGTCTCGTACCGTAAAACAAATAGCGCAAGTAAAGGCGGACGGTGGGTTAATTTGCGACAGAAGCAACATCAATAAGCTTGTCATTAAGGGGTGGAAGGAGGCGCCAGACGTTGATGATTGCTCGCACTGACGCTGGCTTAATGCTTAGCCTTTCATGACCTCAGTAACACGCACACAAATATCAAGGGAGAACAAGAGACACGTAGACAGACAGACAGAAGAAGAGCTGACCTGTGAGGACGGACATGGTGGTGGTCTTGCCAGCACCGTTGTGACCCAGCAACACGGTACACTGACCCTGGTAACACGTCATGGACAC